TTCAGATCATTATGTGCTTCAAATAAGAGTGTATGTATGTACCAAATGGTCTGCTCAATTTAAAGCACAGGTCCAAAATTTTCCAGTAATTATAGATTTATCCGTGGAGATGAGTTAACTGTTGTCATTAATTTGCAATCTTCATGACGAATTATTGTCCTTCAAGACGTTCATTATTCTTCCTAGGTCCTCTGTGTGTATATTGAATGTAATTCCATCTGTCCGACATTCCCTTAGTAATATATTGTCGATATATTAGTACCGTTGCCAATTTATTTCAATTTCTCTGGTTTACTACTTCTAAGAAAGATATATATTTCAAATATAGTTAAATTAATGTTAAATTTTCCAGTTCCTTGTTTATTTATTCATTCCTTACCATTGACCTTATTATAATCCTCATTTAATTGTAGCGTTGTTTTTAAAAGTTTTTTGACTTAGAAATGATTTGTAATCTTTTAACTTATAGGCATCTATCCTCTCTGCGCTTCAAAGATGGACCAACATTTTTTTAAATACTACTGCATAATTGAAAACCTACCAGCATTGTTTTAACTAATAATGCACAGAAGTGCGTATAATGCATAGAAGTGGTCTACCAAAGATCAAGCCACCTGAGTGACCATGAATCTGGTATAATTGATCAAAAACGGAACATGCTTTAAGTTTATCTTCTTGTTGATATACTATTTGTAGGCAATGAATTCACTACAATATTGCAAAAATTCATAATTATTCGATTAGTCAAGGGTTCAACCCTTAGAGGGGGTCTAATTTGTTTAAATTATTTCATAAACTTAGGCAAATTGCTTGGCAGAACTATATTATAGCAAGCGAATGTATTATCATAGCACAATTCTCTATGATAAATAGTGAAATATGCATCAATTGCCTTGTATGTATCTCTCTAATTATGCCAAAGAGGTAATCAAAAACAAAGAAATTTACTTGTCCATAGTTGACACAATGTCACCTGGAGATCTATAAAAGCAAAGACCAAGTTTTTAGGACAAGTTAGTGGTATGATAAAGAATAAGTCTCTTACTTGTCCTGTATTTCAGTCACAAAGACAAAAAAAAGGGGGGGGGGTAAGTCATTACAAGGAGGAGGGATGGGGTGTCTTGAACTTAGTTCAAGTTTCAAAGTAGGTGGAAGAAAATACATGCATGATTAGGCCACATTATTTTTTATTTTTTATTTTTTTTATTTTTTTTATTTATTTATTTATTTTTTTTTTTTTGGCCAAAAAGGAAAATACAAACAGAAATATAACGATATCAAAGTACTACATATATCCAAAGATATTTAAAATTCTGTTGTTTCACAACAAAACTAAAAACCTGAATGGTTGACAATTTTTATTAGAACTAGCAATTAGATTGACAAGTGAAGGATTTTGTTCGTTTGTGGCTAAAAAAAAAAACTCTCCCGAACGCAAAATATTTTTTTCAAATGCTCTTCTATCTGAAACTTAACAAAACGAAAAGGTTTTATATGATACATTATAGATGTTAAGACAATCTGTCAAATAAATAATGTTTTCTGAGAACACTAAATCTGTATTTTAAAATTTCCATTTGCATTTTAATCGTAACTTGAAAGCTTAGTGATTTTATATCGGTGTTATTTGCAAAAGAAAATTAATTCCATTGCTTCAAAGAAAGTAATCAGAGGCTGAAATGATATCGCCTGTGTATAAAACACTGTTTATACAGTATTCTAATCATTTCTGTTAAACTGATACCTTTTTAATTTTATATGGTAAAATGTCTTCATAGCACCTGAACATTAACTTGTTTAAGAGGTATACGCCCTATAGACTTTTTCATCGATCTTTGATTTCGATGGTATGTGATGCCATGGTTACTAGAATAAGACTTATCAATGTCTCATAAAACTTCGTTCACAATTAAGTACATGTAGACTACAATAAGGCACAAGTCTGTTTTTCCCTTTTTTCGATTTACAGCATTGAAGTGACCACTATAAATATAACAATATGCGAATTTCTTTCAAAACTAATCTTAACATACATGTACATGTATACTTAATCTGGACAAATTTTCAAAAATGCTGTAGACTATAGCAAAATATTTACATTTCTAATTGTTTTCTCTGTGATAACTCTTTCAAAGTTAGGTAAATTGATTTCTTGATAATCAAACCTGAATGTAAATTTCGCCAAGTGAAAGGTCAGGGGCCTAATATGCATGTCAATATCTCGTGCGGTTTATACTAAGAAAAAAGTTAGCCCTCCGTCCCCCCCCCCCCCCCTGCGCGTTCTACGGGCCTGCTTTGCCATTCTTGGTACACTTGAGGGTAGTCAATCACTTATTCGCCACTGGATGCTATTTAATGAAATTTTCACAGAACCTTTATTACATAGTTAACATTTTACATCTCCATACTTGGGGTTTCCCATAACAAAACATGGGCTTTGCAATTTTTATTTAACATTCGGGGTACACTACTATTCACTTATCCACAACTCCTACACCACTGAATGAAATTAATGAGACTTTCACAGAATTTATTACATAGTGGCATTGTGCACCTCCTATTTTACATCTTGATCGGACAGATATTTGGGTTTTCCAATAGCAAAACATGGACTTCGTCGTTACACTCGATAAAGAAGGTACCCATTTTGTTACCACGACCAGTCCAAAACCCCTGAATGAAATTCAATGGAATTTTCACATTTACAAACTGCAAGAAATGCAGTTTGCCATTATACTCAAATAGGAGCGAAGGGTATCAATTGTGTGAGTACAGTGTTCACAGTATCTCTTTAGTTTATCTTAGTTTTAAAATTTTATATGGTATGATTGCAAATTATTAAACGTTTTAGAATAGAGCCACTAAAATAGTAGAACTGGAATTATTTCCAGTCGTGCTCAGTTTGCTTTAGAGATGCTGATCCAAGACAGCGATATCATAAACTTAAGAATAATTCAATCCAATGATATCATTTCTAAACATCTAAAAAAAAAATTACATGTTTCCCACAAGACAATTTTTTAAGTTTTGTATGAAAAATTTTTTGACCTTGAATGGCAATAAACTTTTGTTATTTCTTTCAATATCAATTTCCAGATCATAAGAAATGATATTGAAGAATTTAATTTCAGAAATGAATCATATTTTAAAATATAGTTAATTGTAGGATTTACCTTGATTTTGGACTTAAATTTCTAGAAAATCAATTCCAATTTCCTTCACTTGGGTTATTAGTTACATCCTTTTAACAAAACACACATACACACACCCTCACACACACACACCCTCACAAGTAATATCAGTCATCAGTCAAGTCACTGCATGAAGATACACCTTTATATATATAAAAGTTACTACATGTAGATGCATCCTTTAAAAAACACACACGTAGATGCATCCTTCAAAAATACACACACAAAAAGGGCTATATTTGGTAATGACCAATATCTGCCCCCAAAATCAAAGTTTGATGGAAAAGTCTAATATTATGTTCAAACCGGGGGGAGGGGGGATATCTGCAGAGTTCAGAAGACTTCAAAACATTATATTTTGTCATCAGCCATGACGCCATATGTATGATATGACTTCAAGATGGTGATGTAAATTCGATTTCGATCCATGATTTTGAGAGATATTGAGCTCAGATCTGCTTCAAATCGACCTATTGATATAATGTGTAGAACTATAAAATCAATAAAATATGTGAATATAGTGCTGGAGCAGGTCAAAATTGAACAAATTTAGTCCTGTTTCTTGAAAATAACAGAAAATCCAAATAGTTTTGTGACGTCACAGAAACAAGAACTGCCAATAATCTAATTCCAATCTACAATATTTTTGTTAATTCAGATTTTTCATACAATATATACAATTGTATACCTTTCTAGAGAATCAAAAATTGGTTTTCATCAGGGCAAAAATACCTTTTACCTATGTAGTTCTTTGATGTCAATTTAAAATTTTAAAAACTAAACCTGCATACTTGATTCAATAAATTGCATGTATGTGCATTATTGCTTTATCAAAATTGTAACATTCATGTCCCTTGTAGGTTAGTTGAAATACAAGAAAATTCTTTCAAATGTAAAATTCATACGGATAAGCATGATGATAATCATGATGAGCAAAAATAAGCCTCTAGCTTTCCTGCGAAGTAATGAGATTATAGGATTGGATTATACTTCAGTCTATGATATAAATTGTCCAACCCTGGAAAAATAAATGTGTAACTCATACCAGACAAATTTGAAAAATAAGGTGTTTCGTTGCCATAAATCAGGGACATTTTGACAAAATGTTAAAAGAACATCAGAGAAAAGCATAATTGTCAGCTTGTCTAAGCTGAATGTTTAGAATCTATTACTTGACAAAACTTTAGTCCTCAGGCCTAGTAGACATATTTCTTTTTTACAGGAGTGGATGTAATAAATATTTGTTTACTTACCATTTTTGCACTGTCTTCTTGGTCAATATACATTAATTTGGATCTTTTGTTCAGTTCACATTAATTTTGAACGATAACAAATGAATTTTACTTTAAATTTTTAATTTCTTATTTTTGCCCTTTTTCATCAACTGTATATAGTTACAATGAATGATATCAAGATCAGTCTTTGGTCCAATTTATATGAATAATTTATACAGATATAAACAATAAAATGTCTTTTTTCTTTGTTAGTGGGGATACTAAGGGTTTTAGTCATTACAGAAAAAAAATTACATAGTCTGCTTATGCGGGTAATGTATTTTTTCTGCAATGTCACAAAAGTTCTGTTCCCTACACTAATCAGTTAAACATTAATTTCAAATTAACAAAAAACAAACAAAAAAAAACAAAAAAACAAAACGTTATTGTCGCTAACATGGAGTCAGCAGCATACAGAAAAAAGAATATCTTTAAGACAATCGTCAAGTGCTTTCGAAACAGCTCAAATTACATCAGGTAGTTATGGTTTTCTAGGTAAAGTCTTACTCTTACCATCTTTACTAACAACACCAGATTTCCTATAAATATTTTTATTATTTTCAATTACAATGAAATACAAATAAAATCAAGAGAAAGGCATATAATACATGTATTGTGAATTTTCATAAGGAATTTCCATGTATCTGGACGGAAGATGACATAAAAAATTAATATAGCAAATGGAATAACATCAACCAAGACAGTATTCACCTCTATGGACTGCCTTCTTGAGAAATATATAACAGTTGATTTCTACCACTGATGGAATGTTGATTGTACAAAAACACAGTCACAAGTGCAACAATGGTATACAAATTTATACATTTAACATCATGACCATCGGCATTTAGTTAAACATTCACATGTCTGTATTTGGAAATAAATACAGTATTGTTCAGGTAAATAAATTGGCACAAATACACACAGAAGATAACAGAGAGTTGCTTCCTTTAGTCGGATGATGCTGATACAATACCAGAGTCTTGTTTGAATTCATCAAAAAAATCATCCGCACTGAAAGTATAATGCAAGTCCCATGAATGATAAAATTTAAATCAAATGAAATACATGTATCTCAAAATCTGATCAAATTATTCTATAATGTTGCAATATACAGGTACTGTATGAAATGATTGAATTCAGATATTAGGTTCAATTTATTTATATGATAACTGATGACTGTAATATTTTTCCTGTAAATAAATGGGATATCAGAGATGAATTACTATTTGGTTAAATTGATGGAGGGAAAGCACTAAAATACCTTTATCATCAAAGATGTGCATATAAGTTCACTTTTGGTGTAAAATGGCCCTATCAATGTACCTTTTCTCTGTCCCTACCCTGAATTCAACTATATGCTTTCATTATATAATTTTATTGAAAAAAAAAATTTGTGAAAGTTCACCTACTAAGGACAGGGCTTGTGAATATGCAATGTTCTTGAATTTTATAAAAAGGTAGTATATTGTATATGAAAGTACATGTACATATTCAAGAAAAGGACTTGTAACATTAATATTTTTTTCAGTTTTTGCCATGAATCTATTCCTATTTAATAGTAATAATAGGAGATACTTAAAAGATCACATGTATGAGCACAACCCTCAATTTAAAAAATAAAACTATGTATTAATACAAATCAATAAGAACTCTTCAATTTTTATAAATACAGTTGAACTTCGGTATCTCGAACACTGATATCTAGAATTCCATGGATATGTATTTTGGAAGTCCCAACTTCTTATACTTTAAGTATTTTACCCTGAATATCTCGAAATTTTTTCTTGGTCCCATTTAGTTTGAGATAATGAGGTTTGCCTGTATTTGAAATGCCTAGATCAGGGGTTATTTTCTATTAAAAATTTATGTATGTAGTCATCACAGACCCAGATTTATATATGAAGTCATCAGACACGTTGGAGATTTTCAGAATTATTTCATTAGAATAGAATAGTCTTTTTTCAATAATTATGAAAATTTTACATGGCCAAATATGGCTCTCTGTAAACTTTGCTCTTTGACATCCATAGCATTTTATTTTTAATGTAGGGAAGTACAATGCTGGCTAATTTCCTCACCTGTTTCTCTCCTCTTCTCCTTCATCTTCCTCATTCTCTGAACTTTCACTTTCACTATCATCATCATCATCTGAATCTTCACCACTGTCATCAGATTCCTCATCACCAGACTCATCACTTCCCGACTCATTTTCCTTTTCTTGATCTATAATGGTTCGATCAATATCAAAACCTTTTCTTTTTATTTTTATTAATTTGTATATTTACATATACATTTTTCTGGTACTTCCTTTGCTCTACATGCATATTATTTTGTGATTGAATAGATTAATGAGAAATTCAAATTTGAATTCTTGTGAATCATATTTTTTTAATAATTCTATTTCGATGCAATTAATAAAAACATTTCATACCTAAGATAATTTTCTCTTCTAATACTGGTTGAAACTGTAGGGCAGTTGGATGTGTGGGCTCATAAATCAGTACTGAAAACAGAGAACTCACTGGCATTTAAATTCTTACTATAGTTATAGCCACATATGATATACAGGTAACTCTTGATGGCTCGAACTTCGATCTCTCGAAGTTCTTGATCGCTCGAAGTGAGTCTCCGGTCCCGAATTTTTCCCCTATATAACTAAGCAAATATACTCTTGATTTCTCGAACTCTTGATCTCTCGAAACCCTTGATCCCTCGAAGTCAAAATGCAGTCCCGCTATGCATATTCTATTAGAATTTACCCTCGATACCTCGAAGTGGCTATGTGTACACAAGGTTATACAATTATAGCACCTTTAAATGGCCCCAGGCAAAAGACGCGGGTCTCGAGGAACGGGATGTTTATTCAGGTGACACTTATGATGCAAGGTGATAATTGATTTATAATTAATCATATTTTGCCTATATGCTATTAAAATAATTATCATCGACTGTCTTACGATAATTTAGAGACGCAGTGTCAGTGAAAAGTAGTAATTGATTATATGACGAAACACTAATTTAATTTTTATTTCGAGTCAGTGTCAAAGTTAAACGAAATATGAAAAAAACAGAAACAGCCACAATGTCAGTATGACGACTATTATTGGACAAATACTTACAGAACTGCGTTCAATGATCATGTTTGGAATAGTCAATGCTATGTACGACGCTGTAAAATGTCGTTTTCATGTAACGAATGCGTAGTATGATGTCCGTATAAAAAGAGTAAATAAATATACATGAAATGGCGATATACATTTCTGCTTTACTCAGCTTAATGAAATATTCATCTAAATTACGAAAAAATATCGTTTTATAAAAACCACGTGTTAAAGGTTAGCACTGCATGAAAATCATTACATCTGGTAAGATTAATTTTAAAACCTGTCAACAAACCCGGAAAATTCCGGACTCTTGAAAACTCGAACTCTTGATCTCTCGAAGTTTAACCTCGGTCCCGCGGACTTCGAGGTATCGAGAGTTACCTGTAATTCCATTCATAATATGCATGAGAGATGATCATGAAGTAATAATAGTAAATATAGAAGAAAAGTGCATGGAATTTGAATACAAGATTTATGTAAATTGAAATGACATGGAACACTGTTTACTGGAATAATTTTTTTAAAAGAAATTTTCTGGAATAAAAATATCAAATCACATCTCAAAGTCAGAGTGTTTTTCCAACCCAAGATTTATCCTACGTGGGTATTAGATATTTAAGAGATTTACTTACTCATTTTGCACAGCTTGGCTGCTACTACATATTCTTTTTTCATCAAGCACTCCAAAAACTGAAACATTCAAGATAAAGATTAAACACACTGTACACAGGAGAAAAATTTTTCTACATAAATCAAAGTTAAATAAATTCTTGAGATTTCAAATGTCAGATGCCATTAAATAGTTATTAAAGATATTTATATCATATCTGCCCATGATTTTAAATTATTAAATGCTGCATGAACTTATTTTCAAAACATTCATGTCTCTGTATTTCGTATAAAAATAATAGGTCCCATCATAGACGAGTGCATAAAAACCATCTACATAATATGTACATCTATCTACTGTCATCAGCTAGCAAGTCAAGAATTAGATGCCAATCATCATATCATATACTGTACAAAATGCAATTTCATATTTTAACGGAGATTATTTCATATTTTAATGGTGATTATTTCATATTCTAATGGTGATTATTTCAAATTCATTTTAATGGTGATTATTACGGAAGCCCATTAGTGCCAACCTGTATATATGAAGGAAAAGCAATATATAAAAGTAAACCTCGATATATAAAGGAAATGCGAAATATATAAACAAAAGCTCGATATATATAAAGGAAATGCGAAATATATAAACAAAACCTGGATATATATAAAGGAAATGCAAAATATATAAACAAAACCTCGATATATATTAAGAGAAATGTGATATATATAAAGAGAAAATTTTCCACTGCGTGACCTGTGTCGCTCAGCTGTCCATCAAGATTATATACAGATTAACTCCTGGCAGGGGGAAATCAGTTTTACGGTACTCTTGTATTACTTTCCCAGAATCAGCAGAATGGTGCTATTTAATAGTGTTTGTTTATTTATACATGCATGTATATATCGATGAATTGTAATTGTAGCATTACTTAATATAATGCATTTAATTGAGTAGATGAGCATTTAATTATGTATTCATGAAATAAGTATGTTTATCGTATTTTCTGTGTATTTATTGGCTTTACATGTATTTGATCAACTTCCTTTTTACAACTACTGTACCTTGTTACTGTTTTACAAAAATTTAGTCGTATATTACCTTAAGTTTGGTTTCACAACCGAGAATTTATGAAAATAATGTTAAACATGGACTCTTAACAAGTTAAGTTTTTAAATACCCTAATTCAAATTAATTTAAATCTATTATAAAAATAATATACTTAGTCCAGTATATCCCCATTGGTTTCAAAGAAAGTGGCTCCCATCAGCCACGTACCTCAAATCACTTGACTCACTTGACTTGATGGGAGCAACTTTCTTTGAAACAAATACTGGCACATTCTTAGTAAAGATAAAAACTGCAATGCGATTTTCTCTGAATTGCCTATTGTGTCATATAAACGCAATAAAAATTTGGGTGATATTATCACCTCCTCACTAATTAAATAATCTGTATAACAGATGTGCAAATAGGCTCCTGATGATGGCGGATTTGCAGCTAAATAATAAAATGTAAGAAATTAAAAATCATAAACCTCATATCACACCGCTGAAACACTAAATTAGTGTCGAGTCAAGTGATTGAAGGTACGTGGCTGATGGGAGCCACTTTCTTTGAAACTAATTTCAGTATTAACAACCAAAGAAAGCATTTAATTGTTTAAATAAAACATTATATCACAGACATGCATTTTGCACTGAATTATATTTCAATTGAAAATACCCAAAATTTTTATTGCCATGAAATGAACATATCGAGCAAAAAAGTTTTGATTTTATTCTGCCCCATTTGAAATGTGAGAATAAAGCGTCTTATTTATAAACTTTAAATTAATTTAAATCATCATATTAAGACACATAAAGAAAACGCAATACACTTAAAACCATCCTGAAACTGAGCCACATCTACCGTTTTCACTCGAACAGTAGCTCAGGGAGCCGCTTATCAGATGTTGGCGAATCCCTGGTGTAACGAAGGTCATTAAAGGTCAGGCGATGGAATATATTGCATTACCCTTTATATATTATACCGATGTTTGTTTATGTATTTCGCATTTCTCTTTTTATATATCGAGGTTCTGTTTATATATTTCGCATTTCCTTTATATATATTGAGGTTCTGTTTATATATATCGCATTTCCTTTACATATATCGAGGTTTGTTTATATATATTGCATTTCCTTTATATATTGAGGTTTGCTTTTATATACTGCGTTTCCTTTATATATACAAGTTGGCACTAATGGGCTTCCGTAGATTATGAATAAGCATACTATGGGCAGCTGGAAAGGTGCTAAAATTTGAATCTCACTAAAATGCATATAAGTTTCAAGTACACAATGATTTACTGTTCATAAAATTGAGTGCATTTTCTTTATAAAGAAACCTTGTTTCCAAGTGACCACCATGACACAGTATTAAATGTACAAAGAGAATTCTGTTGGAGTCTTATGTAATTTATAAAAAGCTTCTATGTACAGAAGAGCATGTTTGTAGCAAGCACGGATACAACAAATTCTTGATATAAAATAACATATCATAAACTGTATATGACAAATTACTGTTATAATTACAAATTATAACAAAGCACTTTCAGATGTCCCGGTAATTTGATATACAGTTAAACTTTGGTATCTTAAACTCGGATATCTCAAATGCCAAGGACACATCAAAGTCCATAAGGAGTTCACTAGGAGCCCTAACAAATCAAAAACTGTATACATATAGCAAATTACTGTTGTAATAAAGCATTTTCAGATGCCCCTGGCAATATATAGTATTGTTTAATTGTAGGTAAGTTACCTCCATAAGGAGTTCACTGGGAGCCCTTCTCTCCTCCTCCTCACTGTCACTATCACTACTACTGCTATCCTCATCCTTACCCCCCTCAGCTCCCTCTGGTGGTAGTTCCTCTTTAGGTTTGGGTTTTGGTGAATCTTTCAGGTTCACTGGTTTCCTAGTTTAAATAACATATAAATGTGGAAATGGCTATCATTATGCACATATATTAAGGCAGTACTAAATCCTATAAAAAAGAGAAGTTTTAAACACCATTTCTGCATACTCTTTGAAGATAAAAACATTTCTTTTTAATTTTGACAAAGACAATTTCACCAGAGTACACATATTTATCTATATATATAGTGAAACTTGTCTAATCCGGATGTTGTATAATCCAAAATATTGCCTAATACGATGTAATCTTTAAGTCCTTTTCAGTAAATTCATTTGTTTAAAATGATGTCTAATCTGAATTTCTTTGGAACCAGTGGTGTCTGGATTAGACAAGTTTTACTGTATATAATATATCATATTTTAACACCATTATCACTGTGAAATCACTAATTTTCTTTGGGGTTTAATTTTAGTTATTTTTGTGGTATGTACTGACCCCTGAATTCCATGAAATGCTAAAATTCAAACTAAAGGATCAAAAATCTTCCTCAACCACAAAATCAAATCCCCATGAACAAATACTTTTTTCTTCGAACCCACAAAAATAAGTATTTGTCAGTAAATCATAAATCATTGTAGTTTAATGTTCTCCATAAACTGTAGTCACAATATTATCATTGTAAATTTTTTTAAAGATAGGAGAAAAGTTGTACAAGGTACATTTTTTTGTACACTTCATGAACTTACTGTTTTGGTCTGGATACATTTGCAGAAACAACGAAGGGTTTTTTACTACCATCATCATGGCTGCAGCCTATATAAAGGAAATATTGTTTATTATAATTCTGATATTCAAATATACAGACAGAAACACATGTTATTAAAAAAAATGTTTCCAATAAGGTAATTCAAAGAAAATTGTGAAACTTTTACAGATGAAAGTACCAAGCATATATTTTTCCTTTCACATTTCTCTCACATTGATTTCATTATATATTAAGTCAATGGGAAAATTTATTATAAACCAGAAGTCTCTGTCGAGACTGTAGCTCTACTGTTTTGTACTTATAACAATGGAAGATAAAAGTAGCACTTGGACTTGAAACTTTGCAACAGCAATAAATAAAAAATGAACCTTAACTTAGTCTCTTTTTGTAGCAAGGTTGCAATCAGACTAAAACTGTAGGAGGAGTAGTCTTTAAAAAGAATTTTACAGAAATTCAGATTCTAGTTACCATGGCAACCTCATTCACCAGAATCAAAAAATGATAAAGACCATATGTGTCTCAGTGTAGTCTACTTGCATACCACACTATATTAAAATCAGTTCAAACTGTAGTAGGAGGAGCATTTTGAAAGTATTTCACAGAAATTTCTATATTTATTAACCATGGCAACACCGTTCATCAAAATCAAAAAGCAATGTACAGAATTATGTATCTTAGTGTAGTCTAACTGTGTGCCAAGTTATTTTGAAATCAGACCAAAACTGTGGGATGAGTAGCATTTTGAAAGTATTTCAGAGAAATTTCTATTTTTAGTATCCATGGCAACACCATTCAATGAAATCAACAACTGATATACAGGGGCCCCTTTTACAAAAGAACTTACGACTAAGACCAAAATTTAATTCAGCTTACAACTTTATAATTTACATGAAATAAAAATGGTTTTATTATTTTTAAAAGGAATGTAGTAAGATATTTTTACTCTAGGGATTTTAAAGAGAATCATAAATTTTGCACAATCAAGGAAAGTTTTTGGTCTTAATTGTAAGTTCTTTAGTAAAATGGGCCCCAGAATTATGTATCTTAGTGTAGTCTACTTGTGTGCCAAGTTATTTTAAAATCAGACCAAAACTGTAGGAAAAGTAGCATTTTGAACATGTTGAAAGTATTTCACAGAAATTTCTATATTTAATAACCATGGCAACATCGTTCATCTAAATCAAAAAACAATATAAAAAATTATGTATCTTAATGTAGTCTAATTGTGTGCCAAGTTATACTGAAATCAAACCAAAACTGTAGGAGAAGTAGCATTTTGAAAGTATTTCACAGAAATTTCTATTTTCAGTAACCATGGCAACACCGTTCATTGAAATCAAAAACCCATGAAAAGAATTATGTATTTTAGTGTAGTCTACTTGTGTGCCAAGTTATATTGAAATCGGACCAAAACTAGGAGGAGTAGCGTTTTGAAAAATTGTTTACAAACAGACGGACGGACAGCTAGACAGACTGACGGACAGACAGATGATGGACACCTTACTATCGCATAAGCTCTTCTGGTCTCTGACCAGTAGAAATAAAAAAACTACTTAAAGTCTAGAGAATTTTAGCGTTCAATATTTTGGTGCTTTATTGAATTTTATTGAATTATTTAAGCCCCAATAAAAACTCCAATAAGCAAATCATAATCGCTTGGTAGTATGTGATATTGAACAATTCCAGAACAGACGCTGATATTACACAGTTTTAATTTAAATACCGATACTTAGAAATTCTCATTAATTTTGAGTTATATATATTAATAAAGGAGTTATTGAACTTATAGGTGAATATTGGTACTTGTTGGCTGTGCAAATGAACTTGCAAGTTCCTGCATTTCTACAGCCAACTAGTGCCAATATTCACCAGTATAAGTTCAAATAACCCTTTATTATTGAATAAAAGTTACACACACAGTATAATTCGGTATAATTTGTGTACATGTGCAAAGAAATTGCTTTACTTTCCTGAGTAAAGAAATTGCTTTACTTTCCTGAGTAATTACACATTTTTTAAAACATCATGACATTAGTTTGCAAGTGTTTTAAGCTTTAAACTTTACAAATACTCACTATGTCCTTTTCGTATGGCGTTAGCTCCCTTAATTTCCTTCTCCTCTCTTGGTTCATAAATTCTATACATGATTTAAAATCAAAATATGATAATTTAAATAAGCTTCTTGTCATTTCTGATATAATGCAGTAAAAAATGTTTTACATACAAACAGCTTACAGTTATGTTGAGAGTATGATTTCTTCACACTGTTAATTTGACAATCCACAAGTTTCATTTGTTTTTATCTTCCGATTTTAGCAATATAGGTAACTCTCTGACTTGTTACAGTTATTATCCAATTAAGAATAAAATGACTCTCTTCATTCCATGGTGCCATGATTCATTAAGTTGTCCTCAAATTTTGATAATGATGCATACGAAAATTTCATTAGGCAAATCTATTGTATGGTTGTTCCATATTGCACATGAAGTGCAGAATTTCATTTTATGCTAATTTTAACAATCAGTTATTTAGATAATTTTCTTTTTTTTCCCTAACTTTTTTCCAGAATGAATAATGTTGAATTTTCACTGTACATATAAATTAAACATTTTTATCTTTAATTGCAATTTAAATTTGCCTTTGGATAGGTTACCATCATAAATTTACTTGTCCTACCAAAAAATATGCTTGTCCCACCTTTTTCTTAAATTATACAAAATTAAAGCATTAACATTAATTATTTCTTGAATGAGACACTACACAGGGACCAACCTAGATCTAAAATCACTAAATTCTCTCAGAGAGAAATTTTGGGGAAATTTTCTAATTTTAAGGAGACTTCTTATTTAGCATGTTTAGCGTGTACAGTGCACATTGATTATTAATCTTAAAATTTTAAATACATGTCACTGTATATACATGCACATGGACATAAACTTTCTCTTTATTATCAGGGATTTATATGCTAACGTATCCTTGGCATTACTTTAACATCCCAAGAATACTCAAAGATAAAAAAATTGAACAAATTAAATCATTTGAATCAATCAATCAAATTGATGTTTTCCAATTACAAGACATATGAATATCTAGCATTGGAATAAAAATGCACGTTGTCAACCTAAAATTCTCTCAACTAATAAAAATGATTTCATTATTTTCATTACTTAAGGTAGTATGGGATACCTCCACGTTATGACGTATTTCCGTTTGAAGTATTGTTTTGATTTGCATGAGTGCTTATTATCGGGTCAAAATTTGTAGATATACCGTTGAAAAGAACACTCTGAAGCCTATTTTAATGCAAGTTCTCACAAGTCGGCATTTTAAGTAAAAACAGACAAAAAAATCGCAAGTATATAAATTTACTTATAATTGTACAACGGACATTTAAAAAAGCAAACCCCTGTAAAAGGTAGTTTCAACATTGCTGCTTTTGAACACTTTTAAGCAAAAGCTGTATTTCAATTGTTTGAGTAACTGTACAGCACCTTGTGTGCGGTGAGGCATGGATAAGTGCGATTACTTCACATTGTGCTGAATTATCACCAATCAATTATCACGTTAACCAGAGCTGGACTTTTTTGTTATTTAATTCAAGAAGTAACTGTTTGGTCACAAATCAGCTAGCTGTTGTATATAGTCCCAAAACGTTCAGATGAATGCAATTGCTCTGAACAAGACACGTCCTGGAAAGCGATTGTCCATGCATTGTTTTCAAAACCGCTCAAAGTTGAAAACTACAAAGTGCGATTTTTTTATGGTTGGGAAAAAATGCTCATCATTTCTAAAATAGCACCCAGGTTTTTTCAACCCTTGGAAAATAAAGAAGGATAACTCTTCCGTTCGGATCTTTTAATTCAAAAAATTTTTAATGCATTTTATATTTTCCATTTATATATATATTTTCAATTTGTTTATTTCACTTTGCTAACATATTAAGAAACATTCTTATTGTAGACTCTCATGAAATGTTATCCGACTGTTTTCAAGAAATAAAGTTTTCCCAGTTTTTTACGCTTATTTTTTGTTGAAAATTAAAATAATACTAAGACATATTTCTTGTCATTTTTGTTTTTATAAACACTTTATATTAGCAAACGCCTGCCTATAATATAAAGCTTATGAAAAAAGAATTACGCAAGAAAAAAAATCGTTTTTGCATTTCTCATTAAAATAATAAAAAAATTATTAAAATTACACTTTAATATACTGAAAGGTGGGGGTATTTCAAATCCTTCTAATTTGGGTACATAAATATGTAGGAGAAGTTTCGTTTGGTATCCCATACCACCTTAAGAGGAAAAATTTACATTTAAGATTCAGATTTATAATATTTCAGGGCATTGGAAAAGTTAAAGTTTCATTCTATTCTCCTCAAAATTCTTTAATAAGATATCCTTTTTTTTTTAAATTAATGCGTATTTATTTAATGAAAAAGGTGAAGATAACGAACAGTGATCGATCTCAAAACAACCTACAAAAACAATACAAATCTGTATGATTGCCAGTTAACAGTGCCAATTAAATACCAGTAACTTGTCTGTATTCACAGTATGAATTTAATATTTTGACAATAAAAAAATTCAAAAATCCCATTCAACTTTTTTGATGACATCAATAGCTACCATGTTTTAAGACTTGTGTATATTTTAACAACATGTTAATGGGTATATTCTAGAGGAGTTCCGAACGAGTATTCGATGTAGTGGTCAACAGCAGCAAAAACTGTGCTTTGCTGTGATTCATGATATTTGAAAAGCGGTAACACGAAAGACATTTGAGTATATGTTTTTTTTTAATTGGAAAAGCACTTGTACGCAGGCATGCACCACTTATCAAATAATTTGCCCACCAAACAAAATTGGTTGTCCTGGGCATATATATCATCACCTTGAATTCTCTCGACTTAAAGACTGCCTCAATTCCTCCATATCTACTGGTTCTTCATATCCTGGTAAATCATCTCTTCGACTGACGGACCGGAGGTTGACCTGTTTGGTTGGGGTGGGAGTTCTCCTGGACTGGGATTTATTTGAACCTGGGGGTGGCATTCTACAAAGAAAACAAGCTTATGTACTACTTAGATACATGTAGATCTATATCTTCAAAATTGAAACTGAAAGATTATCTGTTTAGACAAACAGATGTGTATATATACACCAATTCTTTAGTGTTTTCTTTAAAAATAAATCATTATCAGAGACATAAATAATGACACGTGTCTCTGTTATAATAAATAAATTTGAAAAAAATAGGCAATAAAGATGACTTTATATATATGATATAGTTTTGTTAAAAAAATTAATGGAAAAATATATTTATGCAACCTCTCTATAAATCTGTTTCTTGAATTTATTCATATGTATTTGCAAATGTAAGAAGACAATAGAACATTGTAGAATATATTTCAATATACTAAAGTCATGGTGACTGTCATACACCGGTACGTCGATTTACCCAAATGGACCCAAATGGAACCCAAATGGACACAAATGGACCCAAATGGAACCCAAATGGACCCAAATGGAAATCAAAATGGACCCAAATGGAAATCAAATGGACCCAAATGGAAACCGAATGGAATATTAAATATACAAATAGAAATATTTATTATTGTATTATCAAGTTGTTACTTATTTAAAATGAAAATAATGAACTTACAAATGGAGAATATTTAGTATTCATTTCTAATATTGTATTTTGAAAATACGAATTAATTTTCTTTAGTATTCTTTAGATCAGCAAAATTATTGGGGGGGGGGGGGGGGGGCACAGGCCCCGTAGCCATGAATTCTATATAAACTTTAATATGAAATACTTCAGTTTTGTATACAATGATATGCAAAAGTTATTACAAATAGAAATAAAGATTAATTCGTTTTTTAAAATACAATATTAAAAATGAATAATTAATATTCTCCATTTGCAAGTTCATGATTTTCATCATTTTGAATAAGTAACTACTTGAAAATACAATAATATATGTTTAATATTCCATTTGGGTCCAATTGATTTCCATTTGGGTCCATTTGGATTTCCATTTGGGTCCATTTGGTTCCATTTGGGTCCATTTGGGTTCCATTTGGGTCCATTTGGGTAAATCGACGCACCCTCATACACACATAAAAATTCACAACCATACCTCTTCTGGTCTCCGCCTTGACGATAAACTGCTCCATCTTCTCCAAGAATTGGAAGAGGGTCCATTCTTCTGTCTGGTCCACTCATTTTAACGTGTGTTTTCCTGTTTTGGGTATATTATCTATTCACTGTGCACTCCATGATCAGTCCATGTTCATGATGTTGTTTACGTTAGATGTTAAATGGTCCACCTAAAATCCGAAAATCTAAGCATGTACAAAACACAAGTTTTTGAGCTAGTCATAGTTCAAACTACAACTTTATACATTATTAATCATATAATACTGGAAACAACAGCTATTTGTAGCGATTATTTTTCAATATTCAGAGACAACATATATATATATTTTTATATTTTTTATTTTTTTTTATTTGTCATATAAAATTAAAAATAAATATTAGTCAAACAACATAGCTTTTTCATATTTTGTAAATGAATTAAATATTTTTTCGTTATTTCGTAATGTAATGCGAGAAGTTGACATTAATTAATGATCTAGATCTATAATATATCATGATGTATATTTTCGTTATTTAGTCAAAATATTTCAAAGCATTTCTGAAACCCGGGTGTAAGCGTTCGTATGACATAGATTATTGTGTAATAAACACCTTGCTCAGTTGCTGCTTGCATCTCTGCAGTAAGAATTAATTAAATAACTTTTGTAAGTTTGTTGAAAATACACAGACAGTGTAATTACAGTAAGTATTTGCTTATATTAACTTTTAAAAGTTTTGGCTTTCCAGAAAGAAATTGTTGTTTTAAAAAAAGGTACGCTTAAAGTTAAAGAGACAATTCGAAATGAGTTCAACAGGTCTGGTACAATCACTAGATTTAGCTACGTAGCTTAAATTACCTACATAGCTTTATTTACCTACCTGAAGTAGCTTTATTTAGCTACCAATTCAAACTTTTTTCTTGAATTATCATTTTTCTCAGGATGTACAGAAAATCACAATTTGATGCAGTGATAATTTTCAACTTTAAACTCATCTGAAAACAATTCATGAAAAAATCACTCTTGAAGATGTGTCTTTTTCTGCGCAATTGCAGTCAAAGTTCTGAAAGCTTTAGGGCTATATACAACAGTTAATTTGTGACCTAACAGTTACTTCTTGAATGATATAACAAAGAAGACCAGTTCTGGTTAACATGATAATGGATTGGTAATTATTCAACACAATGTGAAGTAATCATACTTATCTACGCCTCACAGCACACAAGGTGGTGGACAGTTACTCAAACAATAGAAATACGTCTTTTGCTTAAAAGTGTTCAAACGCAGCAATGTATAAACTATCTCTGCTTTAGATTGCTTTTTTAAACATCCCTAGTATAAATATTAATAGTCATATACTTGCGATTTTTTGTCTTTATTAAATAAAAAGCAAAACTGTGAAGAACTGGATTGAAATAGCTAAATAAAGCTACCTGAGGTAGGTAAATAAAGCTACGGTAGGTAATTCTACCTACGTAGCTAAATCTAGTGATTGTACCAGACCTGTTCAATGATGCAATATGTGACATGTCACGAAATATTTGCCTTCTTTAAATACTACTATGAAACTAGTTGATCAGAATTGGTGGTAGCCTATTTTCTATTTTTAGATTCCTCCCTTTTGTATTCTTATAGTAGGGACTAGAGGTAACTAAACTATATTTAAAGAAGGCAAATATTTCTTGACAAGGGCTTGTCAAGATCTTTGTAATAGTTGGACTGTCCTGTTACACAAAGTCAAACCTCATTATCTGGAACTCAATGGGACCGAGAAAAAACTCCGAAATTTCCGAGGATTCGAGATATCCAGGGTAAAATACTTAAAGAATAAGGGGTTGGGACTTCCAAATCACTTCGACATATCCATGGTATTTGTCAGAGATATCAGTGTTCAAGATAATCAAACTTTAACTGCACCACAAAATGCAGTCTTAATTTAAATAGCGTTTTCAAAATTATATAATAATTAAATGATAATTATATGTTCCAAGAATGTAATAGTGTTTCATTTTTAAGAAATTTAGATACGTGATAAAAACCCTTTAAGGATACACCAAAGATTTCCAAATGCCAGAATTCAATTTGCATGTAATTCTTTCCTTATCAAAGAGAACGTAACGAAAGTATATATCATTTGAAAGCTTTTATAATTTACTATTTAATTATCTTAATTTAAACTTTAATTAATAACTTATTTAAAAATTATTTAAATATTAATGTAAATTTTAGTGCATGAATATTTTATAAATCAACTTTTTTGTATTTAACTCCTCAAAGTTGTCATTTTGCCTCAAGGTAGATTAAAGATTGAACTTAAAAATTGTATCTCAGATTTTTGATAAATCTTCTAATTCAAAAGTTATAGCTATTTGCACCTCAATGCTACCAGTTTATTGGCCTAATTTAACATTTCCCTCAATAATTCCAAAACTAAGCTAGATATCAAAAATCTGAGATATGGTTTTGTGAACACACATTTGAGAAGCAACCATCCAATTTTCAGAGAAATTGGTCAATAAATAAGGGAGCTGATTCCTTTGAAATAATACCACAAACTGTCTGATCTTACTTTACAGTAGAGGGCAAAAACCCATTACACAACAAAATCTGCCAAAGCTAGGAATATATGACACCTTGGAGATTCAGCTTTACCTGTCACTTAGCCATATTTCCTATGCATATTCACAAGAATGGGAGGTTCTTTTCTGTATTTAGATGCTTTTAATTAAGTAAAATAGGTTCAATTCTGAATCAGAAAGATTTCCTGGCAAAATGGCAAGAGCTATGCTCCACCTCCTATTTTATGGTCATCAGTGATCTGTTAGATCTCCCTCTCAAAATCTAGAGTCCCTGTAGTTTAATTACTGATAACCTCTGTGTGCCTAATGAAGAATTCCCCAAGTGGTCACAATGATTTATTGCGTCTTTCATGTGCAGGTAGTCAAAGATCAAATCAGAAGCTTCAATAACGGAACATTCACATGTGGTAGTGTTTATGTTTCATTATTTTTCAATAATTAGAAAACCATTTCATAATTACCAAGAATTTTACGTGCATTATAAAGCAGTGATTAACTTCTTTTTCTTAGCCAAAAATCTCAAAATTGTTGAAAATCTTAAGAAAAGCCTTTGGTGTATCCTTAAAGTCATCCTCACAACGTCAGGGGTCCTGAGTCAACAAATTGCCATTAGACCCCAACAAATTTCATTCGATATTCTACAGGCTGACTGCAGTGATGTCTTTTTGGGGAAAAAAATCTTGATTGTTTTTCTTATCTCTCGGCCAATCACATTTAACCCTTTCAATGAGAAACAGCCTGTAACATGTATTGAGGTGTTAACTGCGTAGTTTTTGTGTATGTTTTATATCAACTGATGTAAGATCTGATCTGATCGGTGCTTCTCAATAAAATAAAAGAAGCCAACCCGCAGAATATCAATGAAATTTGTCAGGAGTCCAACGACAATGTGTTGACTCAGGATGTTGACTCAGGACTCTGTTGTTGTGAGGATGCTATAATAAAGTAAGTCTTGGAACATTGATTTGATATACAGTCAAACCTCATTATCTCAAACTCGAAGGGGAAGAGATAAACTTTAAGATTCTGAGAATATGAGATATTGTGGTTAAGATACACAAAGAAAAAAAGGATTTGGTTTTCCAACTCACTTTGACATATCCATTGTATTCCAGATATGGATTTTCAGGATACAAGAGTTCAACTGAATGGCATTTTTCAACATCCATTAAAATGTGCTTATTTCTTTTTTAAAGGAGACTTTGAGGTACAAAAATGAAAAGAATTGGACCACCCAAGAAATGGACAAGACACAGAATTTATGATGTCTTGTTTCATACATCAGTTAGAGCATTACATGTTTCTTATGTTTTCATGACAGGATATTTAATAATGCGTGTGATTGGCTATGTCAGAGGTATGTAATATATTGGGAAAAATATACTATAAAAAATATGTTAACTAAATACATTGATATTTTATTGCTTCATGTAGGTAAACTTATGCTCAAAATGTTAAAAGAGGAGACCTTTGTGTCTGTTTACAATAAAATAAGCAATTGTTTCAAGAAAAACAAATTTTTAGAATTTTTTCTAAAATTCTAAGCCATTTAACTGTTTTATAAAAAAAAAAATGCCTTTACTTTGTAGTTGATAAGCCTAAATTCCTTGAGGAACATAAAAAGAAAGAAGCTGAAAGAATGGTAGAGCTACAAGAAAAAGCAGAGCGAGAGAGACTAGGATTTTAGCAGGAAAGAAAGACAATGTAGTAGAATGCTGAACATTTTGTGATGATATTTGTGTGTTTTGAATGTGTGTGTTGTATGTATGGTTTGTATTGTAAATAATGGTTTACTAGGTTTTACAGATGTACTATACAACTTGTTGAAAAACAATTATTTTGTATTTACAGCGTAATTGTAAAATTACACACAAACACACCCCTTGAATTATATATTATGTGTGTGTGTGTGTGTGTGTGTGTATATATAAGTTAAATAGAGTTTTAAATTATTTATGCACATACACTATAGATCTTTTTATTTCAATAAAAGATATCATCAGTATTCCTTTACTCAGAAGCAAATGATACATGTATCATGAATGTAAACGTTTTTGTGCAAGTAAGAGGAAATTCTTCTTTGTGATTACTGACAACTAATAAAAGTATGAAAATTAAACTTTCTTTCTCTATTTCAGTGATTGTAATTAGAATTCCAACTTTGGTTATAAATTTGCCATCAAGAATCTACATGTATTTTAAAGTTAAAATCGTACTAAATTTACAGGTGAACTGATGATTCAAGTAGAAGGGACCAGTCTAGTAGCTTTAACATCTAGAAGTAAAATCACCCTATCTGATAAGAACATTATGGTAATAAAGGATCCCTCATCTGACTAGATCATTGATCTGGATACAGTTACATGGGAGAAATATCCATGATGTTTCATGACCTTTTACTTGTGAATATTTATCCATTTATTTTATTGTGTATGTATGTAGAATGTTTCCTCAGTCTTGAAAATTTTGTGAATGGCTTTCAAACTGACAAATCACAAATAAAAGTTGTTTGTAACAAAATGGTTGGTTTAAAGTTTAGGATCCCCTTATCTGACTAGTTCATTGATCTGAATATAGATCACCCTATCAGATCAGATCACTGATCTGGACATAAGATCACTAATCTGATTTTATCATTGATCTGGGTATAGAATCACCCTATCAGACTAGTCCATTGATCTGAATATAGATCACCCTATCTGTTTTAACATTGATCTGGATGTAAGATTACCCTATCTGACCTTTAACATTGATCTGGATGTAATAGCTATCCAACTTCAAATTTTAACTGTAAAAAAAACACCCTGTATGACTAACATTGAACTGAATATAGATCACCCTAAGTGATTAGATCACTGATCTTGATATGAAATCACCCATCAGACTTTACATTGAACTGGATGCAAGATCACACTATCTGACTTAAAAATTGACCTGTAAAGAGAATAACTAACCCAGATCTAGACATAGAATCACCCTTTCTGACTAGAGCATTGATTTGAATATAATATCATCCTATCTCACTAGAGCATTGATCTGGATATAAGATCACCCTATCTGATCAAATCACTGATCCATAGAATCACCCTTTCTGACTAGAACATTGATCTGGATATAGAATCACCCTATCTGACTAGAGCATTGATCTAGATAGAAGATCACCCTTTCTAATCAGATCACTGATCTGAATACAAGATATTAAGATCATCTAATCTGTTTTAACATTGATCTAGATATAGAATCACCCTTTCTGACTAGTCCATTGATCTGGATATAGATAACCCTATCTGTTTTAACATTGATCTGGATATATTTACATTTCAAATGTCTTTGTCCGAGATAAAATTACAAAATGTAAAAATACTTTATTTCTACATAAATCTACTGGTTCATCGATAGGCGCGGTTAAAAAAAAATCACGTGCAGGGCGGGACAAATAGAGACAGAAGCGGGGCTATTAGCACGGGAATTTGCAGAATCAGGAGCATGTAAATATAAGGAATAACTGTCAGATTTTTTGGATTCATGACGATGATCAATCGATTGGCTTGCGTGATAATTTTATGCATAAACGCCGAAGGCGTTTATGCAAATTATCACGCAAGCCACTCGATTGATCACATCATGAATCCAAAAAATTAGACAGTTATTCCTTAAATAAAATTGCCCTATCTGACTAGAGCCTTGATCTGGATATCTGACTACAGCATTGATCTGGATATAATATCACATTATTTGACTTTAACATTGATCTGATGTAAGATCACCCTCTCTGACTTCAAAATTATCGATCTGTAAACAGAATCACCCTGTACGACCAATATTGATCTGAATATAGATCACCTATTTGACTTCAAAATTGATCTGTACTTGTAAATAGAATCACCCTATATTACTAACATTGATCTGGGTATAGAATCTCCCTATCTGATCAGAACATTCATCTAGATATACATGTAAGTGTAACCTGCAAGGAGAAAAATGGAATAAAGCAGACTAGGATTCGATCTCCCTCCTGAAGACACCAACCCTGGCTCTTCCCTTGCAGGTCTTTCACCTGTCACATCCTGTGCAAGGCACCAAATGTAACCAGTGAGGAGAACAACAAGATGAAGCAGCCCAGGATTCGAACATGGGCCCTCTGAATCACTAGTCAGGTGTTCTCTACCAACTGAGCTTTCTGGTCTCTGGCAATCAAATTTGTCTTGACTGCCCATAAGCATCACCATACATTGCCAAAAGTTCTGATCAAACTGGATTGTTGTTTTATCCTAATTACTGTTCTGATCAGATGGTTAATTCTTTTATATGTTATCATGTTTTCAATGTATAAAAACTGCCATCTCACCAAACATTAATCAAAACATTAAAATTGCCCACCTAATGAGTCCACACAGAGGAATCACCCATCTGATAGATAATTCTAATGAAACATCCACCTTTAGAACAGTAATCTCTACAATTGCCCTGATTGATTTATAGATATCAGCAAATAAATAATAACAACAATTACAGATATTTCACAGTTGTTATTAGATTTTTAGGTCATGTTTTGAACACAATAATGTTATAATTTATATAATTACAACAACTTTATAACAACTTTAATAAAACAAGATTATTCTTCACTCATATTTAACATTCATACAATACACATTGATTTCAACACCTTCACATGAAACACCTCAGATCACAAAGGGACAATATAAAAGGGGGGGCTAAAAATCCCCATTGTTTCTATTTCCAAAGCAGAAAAAGAAAAGAAAAATGCGGGGCCTTGCTCATTTTCTTTATGTGTTGAATGACTGAAAATAAAACATGCATGATTTTATATGAATAATCTTTAACAATGATATGTACAAATTCTAATCTAAATCAAAATAAAATATAGCACACTCTGAATCGTCACATTAATTATGCAGTTTCTTTCCAAGAATTGCAGTATCATATATACATGACTCAGTACATACATGTACATTCACTTTTCTAATAAAAAATATTTTGTGAGCAAAGTTTTAAATTGCAATATTTTACATCTAACATTGAATTCTCTCCAAGGACTAAATAAATCTAACTCACCAGGTAATAGCTGACAATTATATAACACTGTAGTTTTTTCCTGCTGTTTGGAATTAATTCAATCACTTTAAGTAAAGGTGTGCATTTAATTTTCAATTTGTGCATTAAATTTCTCAAGAATTTAAAGGACTAAAAAATTCAGGGATTTTAATTTTTTTTTTCAGAATATACATATGACACAGAAATTTACTGTTGCCTGATATTTTTCAAAAAAAGGAAAATAACTTTTGTGAAGAGAAAAGCCTTTTTAAAGATTTTTTTGTACTGATATTTTTGAGGTCCACACAAAAAACCTACTTGTATGAGTTTTACAACCTTCTTTTACTCACGAATACCTGTACTCCTTGCCACAGACCATTTATTTGTGTTAAATACATGTATGTAGAATATTTCCATAGTCACAGATATTAATAATACTAGCAGATAGATTCCAAACCAAATCGTGAATAAAAGTTGTTGTAAATTATAGTTGGTTTACAGTATTGTTCCTTCATATTAATTGAATGCTATCCATATATAGAAGTCAAATTGATGACAAATTCCACTCTACTTTTCATGCTGATAAGTCCATACACTTTTATACATTTTCACAACAGGGCATTCTTTGAATTGACCAGCCTACCTTTAGACTCTGACATTGTTCAAACAAAAGATACTAACAGTCACACAGAAATAGGAATAAAACAAGATGTGTTTGTGAAACACTGATGCCCCCGTATGGCAGCTTATGGTGAAGGTTAAAGTTTCTCAAATGCAAGTCAAAATCCAGGCCAAAAGATAAAAAATGTTGATACCCAAAGAAAGGTCTTGTCTCCAGGAATACACCTGTGAAATTTGAAAGACCTAGATACAACTGTTCAAAGGTTATGGCCAAGGTTAAAGTTTTTTAAATAAAAGTCAAACGTCAAGGTCAAGGTCAAAGTGGTTGGTATCCAAAGGAAGATCTTGCCACAAGGATTACATATGTGAAGTATGAAAGCCCTAGCATCAACCATTCAAAAGTTATGGCCAAGGTTAAAGTTTTTCAAAAGTAGGTCAAACTCCTAGGTCAAGGTCAAAGGGTGAAAGTGGTTGGTATCCAAAGTAAGGTCTTGTCACATGGATTACTAATGTGAAGTATGAAAGCCCTAGCATCAACCATTCAAAAGTTATGGCCAAGGTTAAAGTTTTTCAAAAGTAGGTCAAACTCCTAGGTCAAGGTCAAAGGGTCAAGGTGGTTGGTATCCAAAGGAAGGTCTTGTCACAAGGATTACATATGTGAAGTATGAAAGCCCTAGCATCAACCATTCAAAAGTTATGGCCAAGATTAAAGTTTTTCAAAAGTAGGTCAAACTCCTAGGTCAAGGTCAAAGGGTCAAAGTGATTGATATCCAAAGGAAGGTCTTGTCGCAAGGAATACACATGTGAAGTTTGAAACCCTAAGCACCAACTGTTCAAAAGTTATGGCCAAGGTTGAAGTTTTTCAAAAGTAGGTCAAACTCCAAGGTCAAGGTCAAAAGGTCAAAGTTGTTGGTATCCGAAGGAAGGCCTTGTCACAAAGAATACACATGTGAAGTTTGAAACCCCAAGCACCAACTGTTCTGAAGTTATGGCCAAGGTTAAAGTCTCATAAATTTTTTGCAAAAGTGGGTCAAACTCCAAGGTCAAGGTCAAAAGGTCAAATATGATGGTACCCAAAGAAAGGTCTTGTCACAAGGAATACACATGTGAAATATGAAAGTCATAGCTCCAACCAATCAAAAGTTATGGGCAAGGTTAAAGTTGACAACAGACAGACAGACAAACGGACAAACAGACAGACAGGACAAAAACAATATACCCCCTGGATCTTTTGATCCGGGGGCATAAAAATTAAAGACATCAACTGAGATCTAAGAACTAGAAAATGAACAGAAACCAGTGCACTGATTACATACCTCTTCACAACTGTTAGCATTCTCTACCTCTTATAAACAGTGTGGATGTATATTTGATCACAATTTCATTGTAAAGCTGAAAATATTTTACCAAGAAACACACTTGTAAAGTACTACATCCACATATACGTATAGTCTGGATAAATCTTACATCTGCAACCTGAATTCTTTCATCATTGTCCAAAATATTGACTCAACTTGAGAATATTTTTATCAAATAACAATAACTTTAAATTTCCTGTATATAAAAGTTTCTCCACATTTCAAATAAATTACTCCACATATACCTATATTCAAACCTTCCAGTGCTTCTCTGCCTAAACATGCTAAAGGCATATGTAAAACTACATGTATAAGCAAGCTCTTTTTCCCATCAGTAAATGTTTTACCATTATATATTTGTTCTTAAAATGATGAATTTTCTTGTGAAACAAAAAAAAGTGAGTACACTAAGTGACCACACTTACTATTGCACTCCATTTGTACATAAAATGAGATAAATGGTGTAAAAATTGCTGATATCCCAGAAACATAAATTACAATTGCAAAATTCAAGTTTTGGATTTTCTATTAAAAAAAAAAGTAACTGTGCTCACAAAAAATAAAAGAAATAATATGACTCATTGATGGAAATAATCCCTCAAATAATGAAACAATATTGAACAATAAATTCTTTAGAAATATTCATCTTACTCGTCTAAGATTTAGGGGTTTTTTTGGACACAAATATGATAAGAAAATCGAAAAAACTTGAATTGCATATAAAAATCTTTAAAATTATAAAAAAAAAAAAAAAAAAGAGAGATAAATGAATACTACAGGTATATGGACATACTGTATATCAGGTACTTTAGATTGCACACATGATTTGATATCAAACTTTTAAATACTACCCTATTATAGTGATTAATGATCGTTATCCTTCAGTGCAGTCATACAAATTTTTCGTTTACACATGTGATTTTCAAAAGGAGATCTAATTTATAATTAAAATGCACACAATTACAGCATACCTTCTGAGGCAAAATTTGACAGAAATGGCCAGTTAACTTGACATTTTATATATAAAAGAAATATTAGTCATTTATATCAGATAGAGTTATCTCTCTTATCGGAGTATCGATGGAAAGAGAGGACTAAATATTAAATGAGTTCTTTCTTCTTTATATATATATATATATATATATATATATATATATATATATATATATATATATATATATATATATATATATATATATATATATATATAAGCCTGCATGTGGATTTTTCTTTTTACAAAGAACTCTCCACAGAGTTTCAAATAAATCTAGAATTTGGGGAAAAGTATATTGTTTAAAGTTTTGAATTCTGCGGTGCCTACCATATTTAAACATTATAGCCTTTGAAAACTTGAATGCACACACAACAGCAAGTCTTATTAATTGCAATTACATCTTCTATAAAATACTGTCTACACGGCTGTACTTAATGTGTCTGTTAACTATAATAACGTACTTGTCTTATCATGACGTTACTATCCAAATGTGATAAATACAATGTAATGTTAACATTACAACCATTCTATAACAAAGAAGAGCTGCCTCTATTTGATTAATATACAGTATTTAAATATATAAGCTAGAATATACGCACATTTAGAGCAGAGTAAATAATGGTTTTAAATTAATCCCTGTTTTGATGACCCGATTCACTTTTTGAAAAATTTCATATACCTTTATACAATAACCCACTACAACAAAACGAAAACAACAACAGAAATACTATATAAACATGCAATATACATGTACGTCTAGAATTTCATCTTGTAATACATAATTTCTTGATAACAAACAATAATAACAAAACAATACTCTGTAGAATATTTCTCAAAATTTCTGTAAGTTCTCTAAACTTTAACTTTAGCAATATATGTTTTCATCAGCATAGTATACACACTTGCAGCAAAAATAAATTAATAGTAGTTAATAATGAATGAATATCTATGGTATCGTACAAATGTGTGTCCTCAATATAAAATATTTTGATGCTTTTTATACTAAAATGCAATCTTTACATAATGTATATTTTGGGATGCAATTTCAAATTATATAATAAACATTATTAATGTTTGCCTCTCTCACATAAGCAGTTGTAATTCTATAAACAAAACATTTGTGTTTAAACTCAAATGAAAATTCTTAAAATATTAGTATTATGTCCTTACTTTTGTGTTCAAATGCAAAACAGTTTTATAAAACGAGGTCTACATCTACATTTACAAAGATGAGGATATACATATAAAACTATGAAATCTATGGAATGGCACAAACAATGAAATCACATTATATACATGTATTACAACACAAGTACTTGAAACAGTATCACAAAACAGTCAGATCTCTAAATTCATTGGTAAACATTATACATAAACATGTACCTACATAAACCAAGCCTTCAATGATGAATAATTTTCCCAAAGAAAAATATAAATCTTAAAAATATTTTTATATAAAAAGAATTAAAACTGACTTATATTACCTGCACTCCAGTCAAAGGAACAAAACCTAATAGTTTATTCATAAATAAGAAAACTAACGACTACTTGGTCAGTACTAGGAGCCATTGCCACTGGATGCCGTAAAAGATTTAGCAAACTGCTGGTGACCAAACCCCGGAATCCCCTGTAATGTCCCCCCAGGAGGGTGTGTCACATGGTGAGATGATGCTACTCCCTCCCCCACTTGATTCACACGGTCTGTATGTTGAGCATTCATGTTATACTTCAAGTTTGTCATCATATCATTTGTTCCCTGAAGATACATCCCATGCATTGGATAACCATTCTGATATGGTGGGACCTGCCCGGAGGTGATTGGCCAAGGAGTCTGGGTCATCGGTAAGGAACCCTGCATCGAAACAGGGAGTCCCTGGGTCTTGGTGGCTAGCTCTGGTAACTGGTTCAAAACCACTTTGTTTGACGGTGCAACTTTTTGTTGTTTGACATCAGATGTGGGAGATGTGATAGACCCCTGCTGAATCATCTCAGAAATGTTAGAATGAGTTCCAACTGGTTGTACTTGTGAGGATCCTAAAGTAATATGCTGAGGGTATGAATGATTTGGCAAAGCTTGAGAGGCAACATAATTTGGTGGTGTTTGATTGACCATAGGTTGACTAATGACATAATTTGTGGGAGTCTGATTCACCAGTGCCTGACTAGCAACATATGCTGGAGGCGTAGGATTGTTCATAGCCTGAGTGGCAGCATAGCTTGGAGGGGTCTGAAACTGTGAGTACTGTGAATTGTTTGTGTACATAATGCTACTTTGAGTAACAGTCTTATTAGTAGTCAGTACCTGACCAGGTATCTGGGGGTACGTAACACCTGTAGTTTGGTAAGAGTTAACATTAGCACCAGAAAATGGAATATTGGTTTCTGACACAGTTGTCTTTGGAAGCAACTGCTCAGAAGCTGATAAACTTCTAGCAATTGCATTGATGCTTTCTTGGTCCTCTCTGTTGTTAAGACCACCCATTGGCCCAGAGTTGGTCGAGCTGTTCCCAGAACCAAACAGAATCTGTTTAAGTTGTTCTTCATCTAAATCTAGATCAAAGTTTTCAAACGTCTTTTGAGCATTTGAAACATCCATATTAGCAGCTGCCAGATGCCTTTCAAGTTCCTCAAATTCTTCACTGGTAGGATTAAAGTCTCCATTTTTACCTGTAATATACAAGTCAACATGAAATTAAAAATAACAGCAAATCTAACTTTAAGTTATAAACAATCATGCATGTAAAAGAAATATTTTTTTTAAAATAATACATTAAACATAACAAATCTTAAAAACATCTGTTTCACAGCTTTCTTCTGAATCTAACTCCTTACCAAATAAATTGAATGCTTCATCTGGCAGTTTATTAAAGACATCTTGGAAATCTGGTTCTTCAAGAAGTTTAGAGGCTTGTTCCAATGGCAATTCTACAAAGATAAACCAACATAATATCTTCTGAAAATCATATGGAGAGTTTGCCTGTTAGATCTGTTATTTACATTTTTATATGTCACATTAATACATGTACAATGTTGATTAAAATTCAAAATCTTAGATTACATCAATTCTGTATCAAATATACTGTAAATGCTTTTTTAATGAAAACAGAACCTAAAATCTTCACGTAAATGAAATCTTTTTATTTTCAAATTAACAATATGTTCAGTCTGAGCTCTCCAGCACTACAAACCTGTATTAAAGTTGTCCACTCCACCCAGCATGTTCTCAGACAGCTCTGTCAGTGAGTTTTTCTCCTGTCTAGTCTTTACTTGTACTTGTATTCCTCCCATTGCAGCTACTGGGGGACTGTTCTGGGGTTTGGGGGGCACCGTCACGGGTGACACAGTGTTCTTTATGGATTCCTCTGGCTGTGGTGTGATGTACTGTTTGGTTTCACCACCGTTAGGTGGAACTGGAGGGGGCTCTGTGACTTTGGGTGTAACTGCTACTGGCATTCCTAAAATTGTTTCATACATGTTACATTTGTATCGTAGTATTTCAGTCAAGGTGACAAGAGGATTTTAAAAGTTCTGTCCTAATTCTTGGGGATGCTTTTGTACAACCTGATGGAAACAAGCATATATAAAATGAACTACTTACTTGGAGGGGAAATTCTTTTGTTTTTATCAAAAGTGACTAGGGACTAAATATTGTGATTTTCATGATTACAAGTTTATCATTATTATCATTTGAAATAACAGTTCCTTTGCTAAATATTATAAAGAATCTAATTTTAATGAAGAGTCTTTGCAAAAATATTAAATCATCTACATGTATAAATATTCAGGTACATGTATAAACTTCTTCAGTATGACAGAAATGCATTCCAAAATTTAAATACCATGCAATGCTCCTTGACTTTGTAAAATGGTTAATGATATCAAATTTTACAGATACAAATTTCACCATTTTCTCAAAAATTTTGTTCTTGAAAAATTCCTTTTGGAACAACTTGACAACTGGTATATACTAAGTGAACTTCAACATGACAATAAGGATTTTACCAGTTATTCCGGTGGGTTCACTTGGAGGAGAGGGTTTCTGAGGCCTGGGTGGTTTACGAGCATTCTTTTTCTTCTTTCCTTTTCGTGGTGGTCTGGTCAGGGCTGAAGGCTTGGTCTTCTTCCTGATACGCTTCTGTTTGGACTCGGAATCCTGGTCCTTGAAGTAATTATCCTGTAAGCATAAAATGTAAAATTTCAAATCTGGAATTCTCATTACTACTTACTATTCTGCATAAAGTGAGGTCACAAAACACAATTAAAAACTGGTTTACATTTTTTAAAGTTAATAATACTCACAGCTTTCATAGCATGTTCCATACACAGTGGAAGTTCATGGCGTATGTCAAACACTGGTGTACAACACTGGGTGTTGTCAGCGAACTTAGCCGTGCAGTAGTCAAACAATTGCTGGTCCACGTTATACATAATATCTTCACATTCATTAAGGATAAACCAAACAGAAACAAGTGTCAGCTCAGATTGATGTGTTATAGTCTCAAGTAACAATATATAATTTTTTTTTTATCAAAAATCTATTAATAATTATATTATAAACAGGTATTCAGCATTGCAATTTTGTGTAAAATAAAAATTCAATAAACCTCAGGAAACTCCTTAAAATATGAACTTTTACATATACTCATTAATATTTACATTTCCAATGTCTTTGTCTGAGATAAAATTACAAATTGTAAAAATACTCTATTTCTACATAAATCTACTGGTTCATCGATAGGCGCGGTTAAAAAAAATCACGTGCGGGGCGGGACAAATAGAGAGAGAAGCGGGGTTATTAGCACGGGAATTTGCAGAATCAGGAGCTTGTAAATATAAGGAATAACTGTCAGATTTTTTGGATTCATGACGATGATCAATCGATTGGCTTGCGTGATAATTTTATGCATAAACGCCTTCGGCATTTATGCAAATTATCACGCAAGCCACTTGATTGATCACATCATGAATCCAAAAAATTAGACAGTTATTCCTTAAATGAAGACTTTATACTACATATCATTTAATCTGAAATGTATACATACCCATACTATATTGATAGTGATAACTATATTTTAATTATTTGGAAATGTATACTACAATGATAATAATGTGCAATTGTCAAGGATACGAGACAGACAGTGATTGGTGTAGGGAAGGACAGGATTTTTACACTGCTCTTCATCCTCAGGCTTGTAACAACATTGTCTTCTTTCTAATCCCCGCTTTTTGAACCTGTACATTGTAAATATTCTTATCAATAAGAAATGACTCCTGTAATTCTTGTGGAATACTTCTCTGTACAATATAACAGTGTATTGTTACAAACCGTATATTTGTAAATACATAATAAAACAGACGCTGAACCTGACGTGTTACAACTACAAAAAGAAATTAAAAATTACTGATTAAAAATTGAACTTAATTAATATAATGACAAAATGTTATATTAAATGTTTCATATGGGTACAACATTAATAAGTGGTTTTTAGGGGCTAAAGGTGCTAACTTAGATATCGCTCATAGTGTTATGAGCACTTGGCATTTAAGCAACATTTGCCTATAAAAGACAGCTGTTTTGTGAGTAGAAGTCAGTTGATAACAGGGGCGACTCAGTACACTTCAAGTATCAGACAGCGATATGTACCAACATTATCAAGTCTAAGTAAGCATTGGTGGAAGAGTCAATCACTAGTTAATAGAAACGTCCTGGATACCCTCTGTTTGTTACAATAACTTTTTGCTTCTTGTTGAATATTTAAGTCCTGGTATATGTATTCATTACGTTTTGTCAATGTGCATTTTAATAGTAATTGTTATTCAATTTATTTAATACTACATGTATATGTACACTGCATATGAAAATTTAGTAATTCATTGAAAATGGCTATTCTTGGTAATGTTTGACGATTCATGAAAATAAAATTCATAAAAATAAAATCATACCTGTCAATAATTTTATCCTGCTGATGCATCATTTCTTTAACAACAGCTACCATTTCCCTGGGTCCTTCCCTAGAGGCTTTTATAAGGGCAAGCGTTGTACTATTTTTAGACTTTTGATGAGAATGGTTGGTCTTGTGTGACTTCCTGTACTGAAAGCACCTCCTCCTATACCGAGCCCTCAACAGGGCAAGTTTTGTTGTCCTTAGAATGTCTGCAGCCCTGAGAAAGGTAAAATATATTAATTTTATATATGTATGACTAGTAATATTATGTAGAACTTTGTACATGTACTGTGGACTCATCATCATTTGTGGGGGACTAATATTGTTCATGGATTTCGTTCCCCCTAACCAATGAATTTACATACCTATGAAAGACAAATCTGTTTACACATCAAATTATTGAATCCTCTGTATTTAAAAAATAACCAAAAAATTGTATCCAGATGAATGAATATTTTGATTGCCCTTGAACATTAATTCCCATGAATTAAAATGATTCCACGGTATTCTGTTTCAAAATAGAGATCCTATACAAATGAAACCATATTAGCTATATCATTTACCACATAACATTCATGTATGAAGTTTTATTCTCTTCCCCTTTTGATTTTATTCTTAATCATAAGTAGATGACAATAACAAGGAAGAAGTAATATAAGATTCTTGTACTTCAATTCAGACTTTCTTAATATTTTCATTGAGAAATGCACAGTAGGAAGTACAGAAAACTTGCACTGGCATACCAACAGCCAGTCATCAATACAGTCAACTTGAAATAAGGTAACTGTGAGTTAACTCGCATCACATCCACACTGGAAAAATAAACCCATAACCATGTCTAATCCTGGATTGACAGTGAATTGTTACATTAATTTCATAAGGTAATGTAAGTTGACCTACAATAAGTAGAACTGCAGTGTGGACATAATTTAAGTTACACAGGGATAAAATTGATCCTTATCAACTTAAACAACAGTGGACCAGCCCTAAGTTCACATGTACTTACTCTTCTTCATCCTCAGGCATCTCCTCATCTGAAGAAGGGGAGAACCAGTCTGGTTGCCATGACAATATTTCTTCACTGTCAGAGTCGCTGGTTTCTTCCAAGGAATCAAAACCTGAAAAATTATACACATAATGCAACTTGAAGAAATTTTCATTTGCTAATAACGTTTTTTATACTTCCAAAAATAAATATAACAGTAACCATGGCTAAATGCAAGTTAAATTCAATAAAATATACTAAAATGCAAAATACAGAAAATGCACAAAGTGATGTTAACAAATTCAATTTCTTTATGCTGATACGTGATATGTATTTTCAACTGCCCTCAAATATAACTATGGTTTTCTACCTGCACCAACAAGATCATGTTTTTCTTTCTTCTGGTTCACAATATCTTTGTAGTAGTTCACAACTTCATCTTTCTTAAATTTTTTCTTTAACACAGTGTCATCACATTCCATCTTAAACTTATGAGGTCTTGTTATGGCTGATGATGGTAGATTGTTTATTACATTGGATCCAAAGAGAGCATGTGTAGAAATCTTAGATTTGTTAGTTTTTGCTGGCTTACTTTCATATGGAGGGGGTGGAGGGATGTCTTTGTGTGTTACACCAGATACCGACTGGGTCTCAGTTTTAATTTCGGCTGTGGTCTTAATGGAGGGGGAATACCCAGAAGCTATGGACTGGGAGTAAGATGGGGGTGGGGGAACAGGTGGGGGTTGTTGTTTACTTGGTATTAAGGTACTATATTTCTCCTTTTCCTGAACATTTTTCTGTTTTAGAGCTTCCCCTGCCAATGATGATATATTATCTTTCACAGAATTTTGAGTGGACAAATGAGCAACAGTTGAACTGAGAGGTAGCGATGTTGACCCTACATGATTATGTACTGGTTCCTGTGGAATTGGAAAACTACTAAGACCCATAACCATCTCAGAGCTGAATAAGTTTTGTGGTAGTTTTGGCACTGAGTTAGGCATTCCAGGCAACAATTCCAGAGGCATCCCATGGGGGATTCCATGAGGGAGAAATCCTTGTCCCGGGAGACTGAAATTTGTTGGTGTTTCTGGTAGACTATTAACTCCATGGGGCATTAAATACACAGGTAGCGAGTTCACAGAGTTTCTTTTATGACTACTTGAATTTAAAATTCCTTGTGTTTGCTGGCGTGGTGAAGCTTCATTGGAACTACTTGGCACCGTTCTATCAATGAAATCATAATGGTTAACAGCACTTGATGCAGATGAGTTATTGAAATTGTAGCATGGAGATTGTGACTGAGAATTTGATTCTTGGTTTCGTTTTAATTTATCTTTGATTCTGTTCTGAGCAATTTTGGTTTGTAATCTATTCATTGTACGAGAACTTTTGGCCTTTCCCTTCTCCTTGGCCTTGCTTCCTGTGTCAAACTTTGGTTTAATTTTCTCCAATTTTTCTGCAAGCTCTGGATAGAGCTTAGCAATGGAGGATACCCCCATACCACCATCTCCTGGGGACTTGGAACCATGTGAACCCTGAGATCCGACTGACAGAGGGGGCTCATGGTAGGGGCTGGACGAAGGAAGAAGTGTATTGACTGTGGTAATTGTTTTCTCCTCACCACCGGGATCAGTAAAAGCATAAGGATCATCTACATCCTCAGTCTGCGCATTAAATACATCACTTTTTAGAACTTTACTCAATCTTCTGAGATCATTTCCAGGCAGAGAAGAATTAAGTTTGCTTGAGTTGAATCTAGAGACCCTGTCTTTGAATGGTAGCTTATCTCTAGGGACTGTTGGTAGGTGTTGCACTGTTGTTTTGGGAGGCTTCTGTTTTTTCTCCTTCTTTGGAAGCATTCCCAGAACTTGCATGTGGTTGTTACAATATCTGTAGGGCAAATAACATCCATTAAAATTTCGAAGTTGTATGTGATTCACTTTATCAACTCAATGCTAAATATGTCAAAGCACTACCTTAAACACTTCAAAATGTTAAGAATCGGTTTACTTACTTTCAGCTGCCTACTTTAATTTTAAAAACACATCAATACCATGAAATTTTGCTCAATCTTAATTGTATACTACACTGAGTATTTATGCATTCAACATATTAACTAACTTACTCTCGTTTTTCATGTAATGGGATTGCCTGAGTACACATTTGTTTGCTGGACTTGGCCACATATGCACACCGCCTGAATGGTGCCGTAGGATCCTCCAAAATGTGGCGCACACAGAAACCATATCCATTGAGGCGGTGCTGATTACATATTTTGGCACTGAATGAACATAGAGGTTTGTGATCAGCTCCCGAGGTGTAATGAATGTTTTTACCTTCATACATTATCTCCACAATGGAGGGCCCTGAACTGTGTTACTAACTCTGCAAAAACAAGACACAATGGAACTGAAGAACTGTCAGTTTCTGATAAACTTTACATCTCAGCTTGCAAAGATTTATGATAATAAACATTCCAAATTTTGTTCTCCAAATTGGAAATAAACATAGCCAAACTATAATCATGATATTAATAAAACTTGATTAAATGGCATTTTGACAAGTGTAATTCCATCTGGATTTGACAAAAATTGAGCAATACTTTGCATCCCCTTAATGCTTTTATTGTATCTAACCCATCTGTAATATACTGTACTGAGCAAATTTTATTATACTGCACTGCATTACAAGTTACATGGAATAAAATAATATTCAGTAATTATCATATTATAAAAAAATCTTTAAAAACAGCATCTATAAAGATATAAATATCTATAGTCATGATTTATATCCAATGGTGTATGTGTATACTACGAGAGAATTATTGATTTTGGGGTAGGGATTGGTATGAACGATTCTACGCTGCAACTAGAATTTCCTCTGCTTCAAAAGAAAACGTAGAATATCAGATTTATTTTATTCATTTTGCAGATCTGTATTCGCGTAAATTAGTATATGTATAGAATGTAAGAGAAAAATATGCATAACAGAAATGTTTCTTACAGTATTCACACTTTCACATGTCCAATATGACAATGTAAACATTGCTACCGGAAGTTGTATTTAATTTAAAGTTGTGATTAAATTCTAAAGATATTTGCAATGAATTACAAAATCCATATATCTTAAAAGTCAAACGAGGTATATCAATCCTTACTTTTAAATTTTATTTCGTATTTCACTTCAAAATCGATTCGATTTTTCTTTCACTTTTTCAGTATTTCATCGTTTAAAAATGATAGTTTCAAATATATAAAAAACATTAAAACACTATTATTCATTTTAAACAAGCTTTACACCATTGATTTTGGAATTATATAATTACTCATACCTTCACATTGTTTTGATAATGTTGATTATTAGTCCCTATTGCTATTTCTGTATATTGCAAATGTCTTCCATCAAAATGGCTGCCGAGATATTCCTGTAAACTATGAATATTTATTATAGGTAAAGGGGCTCCGCAAGGTGAATCATTTTATGTGGACTGAAACTAAACAAAATACAAATTAAGCCCGTTTGTTTGACAAAAGGGACGAGTGCATATCATCCAAAAAATAAAAAAAGAAATTATCGATGATTTTCATTAATTTGAGGTTGAATTGCTTTAATGTAGCCTAATATGTTAAACGGAAAACCTTTGTAACGCGAATTTTCATTGGTTCATGGACTGAGTGCCCAAAGGGGTATATAAAAAAAAGTTTATTACTAGGTTCTTCGAAAATTTACTGTATGAAATTTTATCGTAATACTTTAGACAGAGTATTTATAATCGATCGAAACATATTTTGAAGAACAACTTCAAATTTTGGGACATGGGATGAATATGATTTGATTCTCATTTTACGGAGTAATATAAATACTATTTTTGTTGAATTGCAATTAAACTAAGAAAAATGTATTGAAAACTAAGAATTAGATATTTTTCGTATTTTTTTAAAAAAAAATAAAAAGTTAATATTTAGAATCAAAAATTGAAGAAGGGGCCTCACCTTGCTTCAGCAATCCGTTTTGAACAATGATATAATTTATCAAAAACTTTTGTGACTTACATGTTGATCTTTTTTTTTAAGATATGTAAGAATGAAAAAGAAGTAAACATAATTAATGTGTGCGTGTGTGTGTTTAGATATGAGATATATTCTAATGTATGACTTTTCTTCATATATACAAGCTGCCCAAGGATTTATTTATTTATTTATTTATTTATTTATTTTATTTTATTTTATTTTATTTTATTTTATTTTATTTTATTTTATTTTATTTTATTTTATTTTATTTTATTTTATTTTATTTTATTTTTAATTGTTTGTAATAATAGAAGAAACACCTATGTATAAATAAATTTCATTGAAATTATAGTCCATTGCTTATTTGCCATCACACCCTTATGTTAATAACATGTAAGACGGTTTACATGGAAATCAACTCTAACCGCTATTTTTTTTATTCTGAATCTGAAATGTCCATAATATTTTAGAGTTAATATATAGATAAATTTAAATTTCCAGTCCATAAAATTGTTCTTATGAACTTACGAGTAATGCATGAAATGCATGGAATCTTTTTTTTCTTTTGATTTAAAAAAAAAAAATCCGTTTGAGAAATATTTTTTGTGTTTAGGGCCGTTATAGTCTAAGATCCGCCACCACGTTTGGCTGTTTCCCTCTCTGACGTTAAATTCATGGTTACAAAAGATCCGTGATTTGAGGATATCCTCCCTCCATTAATCACACGCAGTTATTACTTCCGATGGGGCTGTCCTCCACATTTACCATCACATTAATTATTTAGTACGGAATATGAATATTGTGTTTGTATTGACATCAGTTTTATTGATTATCCCGACAGGTAAGGCATTTCCTTTAATTTTTTGTTTTATGTTCATTGTAAGTTTTATATATCTTAATCCACATATTCTTGCATGGATACAAAATTTCCACTCCAAAAACATCAAAAACATAAAGTGTTTCCTTTCTAATTTTAGCCCTCGCCCAATCACAGCAAGGTATGTATTAAAGGCAGAGAATTCAATAATATTAGTATATCTAATTTATTGTAAAAGTACCAGAGAAAGGATAAATCAAATAAATTTACATAATTATCAGTTCAAATTTAATCCACATAGAAAAGCATGCTAACCATTTAGTTTGTTGACAGACAATGGTTTGACAGTTATGTCCATGGCGCTGATTGGGGTGCTTGGCCTTCTGATTATTGCAGTCACCGGACTCGCCATTATGGTGGTCAAACTCAGGTCTGTATCCGCTGTCAGACAGAAAACAGGATGAAATCGTGTAAAAGTAAAATAAAATAACTGAGAGTATACATGTAAATACTTTATTAGACCACAAAGTCACTTTCATTTACGTGGTTCTCAACATGAATAGACCAATTAAACTGTGAGCAAACACATCAAGTCATGTATTAAAAAGTAATGACGGCAAATAAGCCATATTTTAATTTAAACATCGTTTTCTATATGTTGTTTTAAAAGTTTCAGAATCTGCATCCAAATACAATTTATGTACATTTCCTTTGGAATTTTAAGTAATACTGATTACATGTACATTAATTCTTTTAACCTCTGCTGAACTATGATTTATTTTCATTAGCTTTACAAAGAGAGTCCCATTGCGGAGACAGAGACAGTCAGAAAAATCCACGACCAAGCAGAAAAGCCAACAAAACACGCAACCCAGCATCCCACTGACTACAAGCGCCCCGGAGACCAGGGAGCCGGTGATGTCTGCGCTTTACGCCGAGGCAGAGACTCCACTAACAAGAAATACACATACAACGGTTACAGACGATGCTTCACAGCATTACGCAGAAGCAGGTTCCACAGATCATTATTCCGAAACACAGGCTTTCTCCGTTGTGGATGAACCAAAGCCTCAAGTTGGTGTCAAACGAGGGGGAAAATACGGTTACTCCACTGTTAATAAGACAAAAAAGAAAAACACCGAGCAAACCAACAAGTCATCTACACTGCCCCGCCATCTGCCAAATGATAATGTCTATATGCCCTTAACAGAGGGAGAATACGATCATTTAAATTCTCCGAGACCTAAAAACAAGAATCCGATAGGTCTTAGATTGTTACCATATCAAGAAGTAAGTTTGAGAAAAAAGAAATTAAACAAAGACCAGAAAGGACCCGAGGTACCCTATGATGTACCACCAAGTCATAAGAAAATGGACCCACAGGAAACGTACGACGTTCCGAAATCACAAAGTCAAATTGCAGCGGCACAAGAAACGTACGACGTCCCGCCATCTCACGATCAAACAGACGGAGCTCAGGAAACATATGACGTTCCAGGAAGCAACGTGCCGCTAAACGACTATGATGCACCTAGAGCCGCGAGTCAGGGAACGTACGATGTACCTCCTCCTTCCAGCCAAAGGGCGTTTCCCGGTCAGGCGACGTATGACAGACCCCCGCTGATCCCCTCAGCTGTTCAGAGCGTCTATGACGTGCCAAAGTCACAGAAAGACAAAACTGCCAGTCCCAAATCTAGTCCTAAATTGTGATACACAAATTTCTAAATTTGATTTCTATTTAATACAACTACATGTAAATCTGAATTCACAGATCAGAAATGACAATCTAAATCAGTCCTCCATCAGTGACTGACAATCACACACAGAAGCTGCATTGACTTCCATAGTGATAGAACATTTCACATACTGCATTTCATATTCAGTTAATTTAGATATATTGACTGTAGGGAGCAATATTAAATCAACATTAAATCATATAATTGTTTATTAATATTTTCTGAATGTTGAACGCTAAGAATAACCATGCATAAAAAGAATCATAGTTGTTTTCGTAAAGTTATACAGAAATTATTGAGTGACATGGAATAGTTATTAAATCATTTGTGTACTACAAGACCCGATTGGTTTATATTCAAAGATATTTGGCGGTGGAGGGGAAAATGAAATTTAAATTAACACAAAATAACATTCAGATTATAAATTTTCAAGGTGTCGTTTTTTTCATTTTAATATTAGCAGCCAAAAACAATGTTCGAAAATTGAAATTCTCGACATTTATGTTTTGTATAATATCATGCTGTTAATTTTGAATTAGCTGTAAATTTTATATTTACCTCCAGCCATTAAATTCAAAATCTACATCATGATAATAAAGTGACCGCATTCGTCCACCTGTAATTCCACAGAAGTTAGTCTTCCATAGGCCTGCTTGACTTTTTAAAGTAAATAAATAACTAAAAGTAAAGACACAATTATTTCCCTTTTTTAAATACTGAAAATGTGAAAACTTCAATAAATTGATATACAGACTTCTTTGGTAATAATTGATCATTGTATATTTGCCATTATAATGCTCTGGAAAAAAAACCTTGAAGGTATCAGAATTCCTTTTTCCCCCAAATTATTATTAGGGGGGGGGGGGTACTACCCATAGATTTTTTTCCAGGTTATGGTTCTTATAAAAATAAAAAGGACATTCTTAAGATCAGAGTTCCTATCAGACCCGTACGTAGCAACGTTTTTCAAAGGCGGGGGACCTCAAAAAAAATTGACGAGGGAAAGAAAAAGCAATTTAACTGCATAAACTCGAAAATCCTATTTCGGGGGAGGGGGTGGACTTCTCTGTAACTTTTCTTAACAAATGCTGAAATTTGTCCGAATTCAATCTTACAGCAACAAAAAGGATGTGTCTTGGGAGCAGCATCTAAATGAAAATTTACATATTAAAACTATAGCAAAAGACTATTCTAAAAATAGGGGGGGGGGCTCTCTAAAAAAAAAAAATCCAAACATCCGTAGCGTCCTTTATTTCGAGTTCAGTGGGATATATCGAATCAACGTATGAAGAAATAAATATTGATAATTGATAAAACGTCATAGATATATCTAAATGTCGAATTGAAGGACATAGCAGATGACTTATTTTCGTGTAAAGCTTTAAAATGAATTATGCATCATAAAAATATAAAAACAGGTCGGCTAATAAGGGGAAACAATTAATTAATACCCATGGGAATTACGACAGATTGTTGGAATACCTTGTGTCAAAATACTACATAGGTGTTGTCGATGGGGAACTCCAGCATCTTTTTAGATAACAACTTCAGAGTACTTATGCTGACTCAACGACTTTTAACAAAGTAATTTGTCACAAGATGTGAAAATTTCCGAGTTATTTTTATTGAAAAAGCAGTTCTCTGCGCTGTCAAAAAGCCTGGTCTTTAATCTAAAATAATAATTTATCATCATAAAGTTTTGAAAAGTCTTCAGTTTTACCATTGATATTGGAAAAATTTTGTGATTTTTTTTTCAAATTGGAGCTTTTTTTAAGATCCGTAATTAATAAATAGTTTACACCGCTTTTAGAATATGTTATTGAACATAAGAGCTGAAGTTTTCTTTCATTACTGCTAATATTTTCGTGAGGAGTTTAAAAAAATCCTACATTTTTCTTTGTTTGTAAAGATTTTTATGAAGTTTTGGAATTCAGTTAAGGTATAATTCACTGTGGTTGTTGAGAATTTGAAAATATTTAAAAGTGACGTATGATTTTGTAGAATCCCTTCCTTTGAAAGGGAATTCTGGGTATAAGTACGTGTTTAGAAGATATATATTCTTATCAATCTTCAAATTTTAATGCCTCATTACTATAGTATTTAAAGATTTCCAGCAAACTGATTTACAGTTATGTTACTTTTTTTTGTTTTCCTAAAGGATTTTTAAACTAAGGTACACCGTAGGTACCCATGTCTTACCTATATACATGTAAGATAAGAACTAAAACATAAATGTGTGTAAAACAATTTTCTTTGAAAAAATATCAAATATTAAATTTTCACTTGCAAATACTTAGAGGTATATTCGCAGATGGTGCATTTCTGCGTTGTAATGATTATTCTGTTTTGTTTTCTAAAACATATTTCGAGAGAGAATATTCAGCTTTGAAGAGCCACAAAGAAATAGCACGTATTAGGTATGAACTTTTTTTCCGAAAAAAAAAAACGATTTATATTATAATGCAAAATATATAGATCTACAATATTTGGTCAATGAGCGTTTTTGCTACTGCAAATGCCCAATTTTAGATTAATCTTAAGTTATAATGTATTCATAAAAGAGTCCAAAAGTCTTTCTAGCTTGCAAAATGACAAAACATACAGTTGGATTTTCGAAAAAGCTTTCTAAAGCATTTCTAAAACGTGAAACGTGATTTTTGACTCGATCAAGCTTTGTGGGAAAAAATGTAATCGGAAATTTCATGGCATACTATAATATAAATACAAAATAATTTATGCACATTTTGTCAGTGATAATCTATTTTCTAAAATTAAGAAGGCTTCTTTCAAATTATTGTTATTTTTGTCATTTTTTTCCCTAGATATCTAATTATTAAAGTTTTAATCATAAATGTTAAACATTTTAACCTGAACAACGTTGCTGAATAAATTACGACAACATACAAATAATAAATGATTAATATTTCCCCCTTTGGGCGGAGGATGTTTGAAATACGATGTTATTCAATAAAATTAGATTTCTCATCAATAATGACGCAGGTCCTTGCACAACAAACTTATAGCTGGCTCAACTTTAACTCCGGTTATTCTCATAATGCTTGAGGAAAAAAATCACATTCAAAATCATATAATAGTGCACAAAATACTGATTTCATTTCAATGTAATGTTTTTGTATATTTCAGAAACTCTTTTCTATGAATGCTTTAATATTCAAACAAAAATGATAACAAGCACATTTTTTTTCTCTCAGGAAAATTATTCATGTTTTTTAAATGATGGTCTAAAACTACAGTCACTTCCTATTATTTTTTTTCTCCAATACATTTGCAAAGAATATTTAGTTTAATTAAAGCAATGGATATCCCAATAAAAGAGTGATTGTTAAGTTATTCAACTCTACGTATAATCTATCATAACTAACACATCCGTAAAACCACATCACGTGATTCCAAAAAGTGACAACCGGACTCTGGATCATATTAATCCAATGTATCTATCATTCAGTCTGCGTTGAACATGTACCTCTTTCTTCTCTTGATTTCGTTTTATCCATTTTTTGTGAAAGGTGAGTATAATTATTAGTCTTTGCTAAAATTAGGATTATCTATTAAAAGAGAGACATTCATGACTGAATAGTGCTACAAGTAGAAATTGAATAAATTGTGTATTGGAAGAATTTTTTCTTTTGAATGTATTACTGTATTGTAAAATGGTTTATCGGATTCTAATGACATATGTCTAATATAACTACATATGTATTCCCCCATAAATTTGTAGTGAAGGTTTTTTATATACTCTACTATGAATGCTCTTAAAACTTTTTTTAAAACAACAACAAACAAACTGCAAAATACAAACAAACAAAAACAAAAAACAAAATAAAAAGAGAAAATATCATTGATGTTTCCTTGTACAGGTGATTGTCATGGTAATCAACTTTCGGCGGGAAATGGTATGATACAAAATGAAGGATACCCTGTTAACTATAGCAATAATCTCAACTGCTCGTGGACCATCCGGGCATCCTCTATGGAGCAAGTTATCCTTACCTTTAATACTATAATGGTGGATGACTGCGAAACCTGTGAATGCGATCACATTCAGGTAAGTAAATTTTTTAAAATAAGTATTGTGCTTTGACACGTATGACTTCAGATGTTGATGTTTTCAACTATATGTATACGTTTTCATTTATTCATTCAACTGTAAAAATTAAGAATTTCGTATATATGGAAAGGAATTTGATACATGTAATTTTGCAGATTAGAGACGGTCCTCACATTTCAAGCCCAATAATTGGTAGATACTGTGGCGAGATCACTCAGCCATTTTCTGTCATATCATCTGGAAATGCCATAACTGTGGAATTCATGACGGATGTTAACAACGAAGGAGAAGCCCTGAATGGATTCTCAGCGAACTACACATCCATACCCAGTAAGCTACACATCAATACCCAGTAAGCTTTAACTACACATCAATACCAAGTAAGCTATAACTACACTTCAATATCAAGAAAGCTATCATTACACATCCACACCATGTAAGCTATAACTACATATCCATACCAATGAAAGCTATAACTACACATCCACACCAATTAAAGCTTTAACTACACATCCATACCAAGTAAGATATAACTACACATCCATACCAAGTAAGCTCTAACTACACATCCATACCAATTATAGCTATAACTACACATCCATACCAATTAAAACTATATCTACACATCCATACCAAGTAAGATATAACTACACATCCATAACAAGTAAGATATAACTACACATCCATAACAAGTAAGCTGTAACTACATTTCCATACCAAGTAAGCTATCACTACATATCCATACCAAGTAAGCTATAACTACACATTCATACCAATTATAGCTAAAACTACACATACATACCAATTAAAACTATATCTACACATACATACCAAATAAGCAATAACTACACATCCACACCAAGTAAGACATAACTACACATCCATATACCAAGTAAGATATAACTACACATCCATACCAATTAAAGCTATATCTACACATCCAAACCATGTAAGCTATAACTACACATCCATACCAATTAAAGCTATATCTTCACATCCATACCAATTAAAGCTATATCTACACATCCATACCAAGTAAGATATAACTGCACATCCATACCAAGTAAGCTATAACTACACATCCATACCAATTAAAGCTATATCTACACATCCATACCAAGTAAGCTATAACTACACATACATACTAATTAAAGCTATATCTACACATCCATACCAAGTAAGATATAACTACACATCCATACCAATTATAGCTATAACTACACATACATACCAATTAAGGAGGTTGGATCCTGCCATCAAAAGTAATGAAAATTTTTTATCAAGTATATTTTTGGAATTTATACACATAGCTTTATTAAAATTCAAAACAAAAATTTGGGGTCAATGCGCTTCTTTTGGCGCTACAGAGCATTTAGTTTGACCTTTTTGCACTGTAAATATGTCTTACACATAAATCATTTTTTAAAGTTTTTCCTCCAATATTTTTTGTTCAAATAAATTTTGGGAACGAAAACAGTCTTACTTCATCTCAAATAGACACATTAAAATTTGTGACAACAAAGAAATTTTCAAATTATTCCGCATGTTCCATTATTTGACCTTTTTGCACTCAAACATTTTCATTTTTCTGGCATTAAAAATTTAACAAGCAAAAAAATCATTTGAAAGTAATGACATTTTACTGAATTTAAGAAGAATGGTTAAAAGTATTGTATATATTCAGAAAAGAAAATTAAAAGTGGGGGTCTGTGATGTTAATTTTTAAATATTACTAAAATAGTGCTAATTTTAAGCTTAAATTAGGGCTATTTTTTCCTTCATTTTCACAATATATTTGCTATATTTCTCAAATATGATGATAGAATTCATGACATTTTATTTAATAGATAATTTAGGACCAGTATAAAACAGTTTACTGCACAAAATAACTATGTGTGCAGACTGCATGTAAAAATAGGAATCCAAACTTAACATAGTTTAAATACTTTGAAAGAGAAAAAATGATCATTTTCTTCTTAACAAACCTTCCGCCACAAAATATAGTTCCTCACTTAATGCTTTTGGTATGGAGTTTAATCATGGAGTTTTAACTGAATATAGTTAAATTGGCATTGTAGAATCCAAATTTAATGTTGGAATTAAGGCATAATGCAGAATTTTTGAAATATAGGTCAAGATAAAAATCTGCTCAAAAGCTCAGGAGCGAACCTCGTTAAAACTATATCTACACATCCATACCAATTAAAGCTATATCTACACATCCATACCAAGTAAGCTATAACTACACATCCATACCAATTAAAGCTATATCTACACATCCATACCAATTAAAGCTATATCTACACATCCATACCAAGTAAGATCTAACTACACATCCATACCAATTATAGCTATAACTACACATACGTACCAATTAAAGCTATATCTACACATCCATACCAATTAAAGCTATATCTACATATCCATACCAAGTAAGCTATAACTACACATCCATACCAATTAAAACTATATCTACACATCCATACCAACTAAGCTATATCTACACATCCATACCAATTAAAGCTGTATCTACACATCCATGCCAAGTAAGCTAAGCTATAACTACACATCAAAACCAAGTAAGCTTTAACAACACTACTATATCAAGCATTGACAAGCAAGCTTCATCACATGCTACATTGTAAGTTACAGTTACTTTCGTAACAAGTAAGCTATAATATCCAGCCAGCTTTCACTATTTCACAGTCTATGTCCATTAGCTATAGCTACATCCCTACTTAGTAAGCTATAAATCACAACTACAATTTCATACTTAGTAAGTTTGAAGTAGAACAACTCATTGTATGCTAATTAATTGATGTATAATCTCTCGTATGCTATTTACATAATGCCGACTGATATAAGATTAAGGTTTTATAGAAGTCGAAGAAATCACAACAAGCTTCCAAATATAATTATACAATTCTATTAATTAGTGTGTGGTGGGAACTTTTCAACAATGAACGGTACCATCATGTCCCCTGCTGTAAACAACATGTACCCTCACAACGCAGACTGTGTATATCAGATCACTGTTCCCCCAATGTACCGAGTCTTTTTCAAAGTAGAGAGATTAATTCTGCAAGACAAAGGCGAAAACAACATCTGCTCAGACTATCTGGAGGTTGGTTAAATATGTTTTAAATGGCGAATGTTAACGCAAATGAATTTAGGGATATTTTTTCACGTACATGCTGTTTTGTGTCTGTTGAGTTTCTTAGTGTGTATGATTTGTGTAAATGTTTGTTCCAAGAATTTTGTCTTTAAATCAACTATTTTCCTTTACTTTCAGCTGAAGGAGTCTGCGAGCGGTATAGACTTGGGCAGATATTGTGGAGAAATGGACAGGTTTAGCGTTATAACATCGGGAAACACAGCTTGGGCTAGGTTTGTCTCCGACAACGTCACCACATCACAGGGCTTCACCGTGTTCTGGGATGCAATAGGTACAGAGTAAAGTGTTCTAAAATATCAATTAAAAAATTCGGCATATGTGGTCGAGGCATGAGCGATTTTATGCCATGATATATAGCCTTATGTATTAGAATATTTTTGGTATGGTAGGAGGCTAAAATGCATGTTTTTGACCACGCATTGGCAATTTGCAAAGATACACTTCACTCAAAAAATTCTGGGATAAAATAATTTGTCAAATGCAAACAGTCAATAAGCAACTTAAGGATTGTGCAGATGTATACCGGAGTATATTATTTCTATATCTAGATTGCACAAATGAATACACAAGCGCCACTGGAATGATCAGCTCTCCAAGCTTTGGGGGTTTGTACCCTTCTAATGCCAACTGTACATATAATATCACGCTACCAGAAAACAAAAATGTCTTCCTGAAGTTTTCCCTGTTTGAGCTAGAGGAACAGGCTTTAGAGGACGCAGTGGAAATGCCTGGGCAGGATTGTGCGGACAGTCTTGAGGTATATTTTGTTGTCGTTGTTGTCTGTGTATAGCGTCTTTTCTTGTACATGTTCTGTTGATCTGTTTTGCTAGATGCATAATAGAACATAGTTAAAAAGTTTTTGCCGAAGCTAAAATTTAATGTAAACATAAACAAATCGACAACTATTTCCATTTTATACTAAAATTAATAAATTGTAATGTAATTTGATGTGATAAAATTGGTTATGAACAGTGCTTAAATAGCACCCTTATAAACATTTAAAATCAAAGTATAAAGCTAGAGTTATCCAGACAGAATTGATACCCCCATTAGATGCACATTCAAGGCGCACATTTTTTATGTCCTCAAGATGAGACGGAAAGTGCATATCCTTCAGCTATTTGAAGGCACGTACTGTATATAACGTAATAAAGAGATTGTGCTAGACCTGTCTTTGACTGGAAACTCATGTGTCTTCGCATAAATTCAAAAGATAAAGCTGCTGTATTTGTCGTAGTGGCGGATAATCATTTGATGTAAAAAAAAAAAAAAATTAAAATAATAAAAAAAAAAAAAAAAGCCAAATCATTTCTACTCCTCTCACGCAAATAGATGAAACTGTACAGCTGTGATGACGGTATCTCAAGCAATTGATAACTAACAAGTTGTCAGTAAAACTTATAGCAGATAACAAACATCAGCGTTTCCAAAAAAAAAAAATAATAATAATGAAAAATGAAGACAAATAAGCTGTATATAGTTTCTTCCTGAAAAGGCATCAGAAAAAAATTTATAGGACAAATGTCGGAAATAAATTTTTTTAAAAATAAGCTCAAGGATGATATAATTATGAAATTCTACTCCAAAACTATAAAATATCTTTTTGTACCTACTTCAGATATATGACTCTGGAAGACAATTGGAAGCTTACTGTGGCCTCAGAGACCCATTCAGTATTATATCTACAACAAACATGTTGTTTTTGACATTTACAACAAATTTCCCCTTCAACCGTCGAGGATTCATGGCGGAATATGAAACTACGGGTCGGTATATGTTTCATACCATAACAAAAAGTTATTTTCTTAGACTTTGTAGGATCATCTTTGAATTTAATTGAAATATGCATAACTGTGTAATGATCAGGGGAAACAATCAAGTACGTTGCCTAATATTTCTATTTAGGGAGGTCTCTTCTGATGAAATACTATTTAATGTCATTTAGAATTAAATTCTTAAAGTTTTGAGACAACTTTTTCCTTCTTTTCAATAAACGAAAAATTACACAGATGAATAAAAGCAAAAAAGAACACGTATATTTGCATCAATAGGTCCATTATCAATCAATGATTATTCTTTATCAATGTATTTACAGATGCTCTCATGGTGCATACTGATTACAATGGTTTGATCACACCTCCTCTGTATCAATTTATGTATGCGCATAACATTAACAAGAATTTCACCATCATCAGACCACAAAATGAACCAATCTTTCTAACGGTGATCAATTTTGAAGTACAGGAGTCAGTCAATGGTACCTGTTTGGATTATCTTCAGGTATGTATGTATTAATTGAATTTAAGAGCATGCTCTGTGTACGTTCATTTTTTAAATCGAAGCATGCTACTGAAAAATAAGTTGATGTTACAGGAATTTTTACAATCTCGTTTAATGTCAACATTTCATAAATTCTATAGTCGATAATATAATGACCTTGTTTGCAAATACAGTATGTCATTGGGTCGTATTTGACTGACATATATCATACTTCATATCTCAATTGCTAGGCCGTTATATTTTAAACTAAATTTCAAAACTGATCATTCCGTCTACCTGATCTTACAGTAACAAAAAGTGGGGAGGGGACAGCATCTAAATGGAAATTTATTAAAGCAAAATACTATACTCCAAAAAAAAAAGAAGGGGGCGCCCCCTTCCCCTGCGTTCTACGGGCCAGACTTCTGGTTTTTCTATAAACGCAGGTATACTCTTTGCTTAATGTTTTGTTGTATGGTAATATTATCATTAACCTCACCCCAAGCGGGGTATTTGTCATGTTTGCGTTACCCTTGTTTTTTCTGAAACAAAAAAGTTTCAGCACAAGAAAGAAACTTACAATATTAATTTTCACAAAAATGACATAAAACATGAAATTTCATGCAGTTGATAGAATTATTTACCATGTAATAAATACTCTAGGACTGATAGTTCTTTTTTTATTTGAAAACAGATAGGCATTGAAAGAACGTGTGGAGAACAAGATCCCATGATGTATCTTTTCTATGGGTCTGTATCGTTTAGCTTCGTATCTGATTTGTCCATTTCCGGTGCTGGTTTCCAAGCCCAATATGACGGTAATTTCTCTAGAATTATAAAAAACCTTCTTTTTTTATTTACCATGCAGGTTTTATTTTGATGGAAAACATATAAAGATATGATAATAAATGCTTTCCTGTTTCTTGTTTTTTAGTGTGCAACACGACCATCACTGACGAGTCTGGTATGCTTCGCTCCCCTGGTTACCCCGCCGTGGTATATGAGAATATTACATGTAGTCACACACTCCTACAAACCTATCAACGAATGTTCGTCATCGACTTCACAGATTTCCAACTCCCTCCCAAAGTCAATGGAGTCTGTGAAAGCTATGTCAAGGTATTTTCCATATAAAATTTGGGCAACTTGAAAAGAAAAAAAATATTCATTATTATCTTAGTTTTTTGCCTTTTATTTTTCTTAACGTTTCTGTTGCCTTCTGAACTTATAGCAGGAGCGAAAACCCCTCCAGTGCTTGTCTTTCTATTCTAATGTCAAACTAAACATGACTTACGACGGAAGATTCACTCCCTTTTTGGTAAGAGTGCAACGTGACATTCCTGACCAATTCTTTTCAGATAACTGACCTTCATACTGGAGACATTGGGATCACGACAGAGAGCGGTGGTCAGATGATGATGGAGACTAGACTGTGTGGAAATCGAGGTCCTTTTAACGTCACAATCAAAGCCAGGGAGATTAACATCATGTACAAGTCCCTATTCTCAAGGAACACATTCGGTTACCGCATGAACTTTACAATTTCCGATATACGTGAGTTTTGAAAAACAATAAAATGCATGGGAAAAAATTATGACGATTTTCATCCAGTGGCATATAAATTAATAAGAAACGCAATAAAACTTGAATGTCACTGTCAATATAATCATAAATTTCTTTCAGCTTCTACTACAACTTCTACAACAACAACGCAAATTCCCACTGAAACGACTGTTGGAGGTAATCAACCAAGCACAAAAATACAGTAAACAATCAAAAATAATTCAATACATGTACAAACAAAAAAGAAACGAACTTAGACGAGATTACTTTTTCAAATGTGTGAAATGAAAAAAATATAGTGCATCGGAATTATTTAAAAACTTTTATCAAGTTTCTCATAGTACTTTCCTTATTTCATGAATGACGATTTTTATGCAAATAAAATTAAATACAATGTGCCATTCTTTAACAGTTTTTTGTTAATGACCTAGAGTAAAAGTGTTCAGACTCTGATTCAAGTGACCATAAATATACTGTAATATTAACCGGACACGTGATTGTTTTTTAACAGATGGTGGACCAGGGACCACACTCAACAATTCCCTTAGTGTTCCAATTAGTAAGTGCCCTCTTTGTCAATAATCTAAAAAAAATAGACTAACTTTGTAAAATCATTGGGTGAATGTGAATATAATGTATTTTCATAAACAACTCTTAGCTGTTTCGGATTGGCTTAGATCCAACATTTTGTTATGTTCGATTGCGAGAGACCTTCCAGGTGAAAGAACATTAGTATGTATTTTTTCTTCATTGGACTAAAAATAGATCGAGAACTTCCAAATTGATATTTCACCAGCACCCAAATTTCATATGAACATAACATTATATTTACCTACAATGGACCAAAAATAGATCAAGAATTTCCAAATTAATACAACTTGCTGTTTTTATCTCTAAATATTTACATTTCCAATGTCTTTGTCCGAGATAAAATTACAAACTGTAAAAATACTTTATTTCTGCATAAATCTACTGGTTCATCGAGAGGCGCGGTTAAAAAAAGTCACGTGCGGGGCGGGACAAATAGAGACAGAAGCGGGACTATTAGCACGGGAATTTGCAGAATCAGGAGCATGTAAATATAAGGAATAACTGTCAGATTTTTTGGATTCATGACGATGATCAATCGATTGGCTTGCGTGATAATTTTATGCTTAAACGCCTTCGGCGTTTATGCAAATTATCACGCAAGCCACTCGATTGATCACATCATGAATCCATAAAATTAGACAGTTATTCCTTAACTACATTCGGTTAGGACTAAATCAAGGAATATGGCGAGTCTGGCTAAATTAATGAGTTTGTATAATTTAATCACTGAATCATTTAATGAAACAGCGATTGCTGGGTTTTTCTGTCAATTGGATGATTGAGCAACCCTCGGAATGCAATATTCATATCGCCCTTAATTCGAGCTTGGTGAATATTGTACTCCTCAGGTAGCCAAATCATCGTATCAACTTCAAATGTATAGAATCCAGGCTACATCATTATATTGTTACGTATGTTATCCTAAAATGAAATTACGCTGAAATGATAAATTTAGAGTTGTTTTTTTTAAAAATATTTTCATTGAATTGTGTTAATCCCTTATTAAAACTAAAACTTGAAGAATGCAGGGATCAAATGGATCAAGACACCTTAAAATATTAAAGAGCTTACAAAAAATCTTCCATAATATATACTTTCATGTCAAAATACCATTAAAATTTTCTTGTTTTAATTAGTAAATGTTAATAATTGTTTCATTCTATCTGTTTCAGTTGTGGCCATCATTATTATCAGTGTCCTCCTGTTCATAATTGCCGTGATTTGTATCATAAAAGCAAAGTAAGATTTCAGTATACTAGATCTAATAATTACAATTTATCGTCACATATTTACAGGTATAAATATATAGAAGATTACATTAATATTTTTTTTTAAAAGATCAAAATTTTCATTTTTTTTAATGTAGGAGCTCTCAAAATAACACCGGAAGTTTAGAAATGCTCTCAGTGCGCAGGACCCGACAGTCAACGGCCGTGTTTAACCCTGCATACGAGTCAAACGACGAGTTGAACAGGGGAGAATTCAAATAAACCGTCTGTTCGGATTGATTCAGATCCAATACTCTGTTGCAGCTTTGAGATCTATCAAAATTGTGAAATTTTAGTGTTCATATTTGTTAAACTGTGATATGTCATGATACTTCATCACCGACCTTTTAAACATCCGGTTGTTGCTTCCATAGTAAACCTGACGACATCATAAATACGTATGGCATTTGCAGTAAAAGGAAACGTTACAGTCATAATATTTTAATCCCAGAGTGATTTACCTTTCATTGTGATAGATCCTTGTTTATAATAATTTCCACCATATCATAATCAATTCTTATGCAAGTTCACTAACTCTTTAAGCGGATTATGGTTAGACTATTGCTTGTATGGCATCCGGTATGTAATCTCATTGGAGGTGCTGAACATATATAGAAAAGATACAAATCATTGCTGTTGTATATAAATGTAAATCTTGTCTCCGTGTTGCTGAGTGTGTGAACTTTTATGTATAATAGTATATTGTAAGCGAACTTGATTCGTCTTTGGTGCATGTAGATCCGGTGATTTATAAAAGAAGAGTTTTATGATAGTTATATATATCTTTAAAAATATGTAAATAAAATATTATTTTAACTTTGAAATGCAAATAAATATTGCGAAATTATTGCTTCACTGACTATTTTATTGTGAAATGTAGAATAACGGCGGGTGAAATCAACTATAACACAGAACATTGATTGCATTTTTATAATTTACAAGGCCAACAAAAGAATTAATCCCTTAGTAATTCACACTGAATTCTTTTTAGCTCACCTGAGCCGAAGGCTCAAGTGAGCTTTTCTGATCAAAATTTGTCCGTTGTCTGTCGTTCTCCTTGGCGTTGTCGTAAACTTTTCACATTTTCATCTTCTTCTCCAGAACCACTGGGCCAATTTCAACCAAACTTGGCACAGAGTATTCTTGGGAGAAGGGGATTCAAATTTGTTCAAATGAAGGGCCACGCCCTCTTCCAAGGGGAGATAATTACAAAATAATGAAAAATTAATGGCATCTTTTAAAAATCTTCTGAAGAAGAAACAATGGACCAGGAAAGATGAAACTCATGTGAAATCATCGTCAGGTAGTGTAGATTCAAGTTTGTTCAAATCATGACCCCTTGGGGTAGGGTGGGGCCACAATGGACGATCATAGTTTTACATAGGAGTATATAGGAAAAATCTTTAAAAATCTTCTTCTCAAGAACAGCAAAGCCATGATTGGTCATATTTATGTAGTAACATCCTCAGGTAGTGTAGATTCAAGTTTGTTCAAATCATGACCCCCGGGGGTCGGGTGGGGCCACAATGGGCGATCAAAGTTTTACAAAGGATTATATAGGAAAAATCTTTAAAAATCTTCTCAAGAACAGCAAAGCCATGATTGGTCATATTTATAAGGTAGCATCCTCAGGTAGTGTAGATTCAAGTTTGTTCAAATCCTGACCCCCGGGGGTCGGGTGGAGCCACAATGGGCGATCAAAGTTTTACATAGGAATATATGGGGAAAATCTTTAAAAATCTTCTTCCCAAGAACAGCAATGCCATGATTGGTCATATTTACATTGGAGCATCCTCAGGTAGTGTAGATTCAAGTTTGTTCAAATTATGACCCCCGAGGGTCGGGTGGGGCCACAATGGGCGATCAAAGTTTTACAAAGGAGTATATAGGAAAAATCTTCAAAAATCTTCTTCTCAAGAACAGCAAAGCCATGATTGGTCATATTTATAAGGTAGCATCCTCAGGTAGTGTAGATTCAAGTTTGTTCAAATCATGACCCCCAGGGGTCGGGTGGGGCCACAATGGGCGATCAAAGTTTTACATAGGAATATATAGGAAAAATCTTTAAAAATCTTCTTCCCAAGAACAGCAAAGCAATGATTGGTCATATTTACATTGGAGCATCCTCAGGTAGTGTAGATTCAAGTTTGTTCAAATCATGACCCCCGGGGATAGGGTGGGGCCACAATGGGCGATCAAAGTTTTACAAAGGAATATATAGGGAAATTTTTTTTTTAAAAACTATTTTTTAAGAACAGCAATGCCATGATTGGTCATATTTATATGGAAGCATTCTTAGATAGTGTAGATTCAAGTTTGTTCAAATCATGACCCCTGGGGGTAGGGTGGGGCCACAATAGGTGATCAAAGTTTTACATAGGAATACATAGTAAAAATCTTTAAAAATCTTCTACTCAAGAACAGCAAAGCCATGATTGGTCATATTTAAATGGAAGCTTCCTCAGGTAATGTAGATTCAAATTTGTTCAATTCAATTAGTGCTCAGGTGAGCGATGTAGCCCCTGGGCCTCTTGTTATCTTATAAGCTCGATCTTAATGTGGCAGAATTAAAGGGGAATCACCCGGCTACCTCCCCTAAATTGTTAAATTCAAGGTAAACCATGATTCCTTATTTGAAAAGAAATGATTTATCAGACAAAAGGGTGTAAGCACTATATATATATATAATATATATATATATATATATATATATATATATATATATATATATATATATATATATATATATATATATATATATATATATATATATATATATATATAAGGAATCGCCCGTTATGCAAGTTATCTCAAGTTTCCAACTATCGTTGATGCCCTGGCATACTCTACTAACTAGACAGTGATTCCTTATATTTCGATTTCATTGTGAAATAAAATTGTAAATTTAGATTTTAAAAATGAGACTAATATATTTAAATTACACGAGGCCTCACATGTCAATTTCAATAGTCCCTGCCCACTGACGTCAAACACAAAGACAGCCGCACGAGAAGTACATGCATATTAGGCCTTCTTAGCTCCTGACCTTTCGCTTGGCGAAATTTGCATTCCGGTAGAATGATCAAGAAATCAACTCAACTAACTTTCAAAGAGTTTTCACAGAGAAAACATATATATATATATCAAGGGTCCTTTGGATGAGACCTTAAAAACCGAGGCCCCGTGTCACGGTAGGCGTTGGCACGATAAAGAACCCTCAATGCTCAATGGCCCTGAGTGCTGAGTAAAGGTCTAAATTTGAAGCCCTTCAGCGGTATATGGTGACGTCTCTATATGAGTGAAAAATTCTCGAACGGGACGTAATACAACATACAATCAATCAATCTTGAATACGTCGTTGCTTAGTCCAAAAGAAGTACCTGAAAATCAAGTAGTCAGTTTGCATTATACCAAGACAATTTAGAGCATACATGAACATGAAACAGGCTAAAAAAATACCTTACTCTTAAAGGAGCTGTTATAACTATTCCAGCTTGCTCTAGGGGTTACAAGATGCGCCGTAAATAAAGAAAAAAGGGGACAGTCATTGTTAAATTACAGACAGGCACAAGAAAGATCCATTGTAAGACAAGTTATGAAAGACTGAGAGTCTTATGAAAGACTGATATTAGAGTTCAAAGACAATTCCGTCGAAAATTGAGTTTAGCAAGGGTGAAAGAGGAAGTCTTACTTACCAAGTGTGTAACAATCACCATTCTACTCAATACAGAAGTCTTCTTCAACAGAAAGACTACAAAGGAGACAAGCAATTGCAATTCCGCATGCATTCTTTCACATGAAAATCCAGAGAGAGTTATTTATGCAAAAAGAGGACTGCCTGTAAAATACAGAAATTATTTAGAAATAAACTGCAAATAAATAGAGCTAAAACAGACTAATAGCTCAAAATACGATCAGTATTAGATCTTCAAAGTGCTATACAGAAATTTTGGAAATTGAAGAAATACACTGAGTTTTCTTAATGGAGCCACCAAGCCAAGCTACACTTTGGTTCATCACCAGTATTTGACCCTCGGTAAAGCAGCTGTGATAGTGCAGTCATGCTATACAGGAAAACAGACTAGAAATTTATTTGCTTTTGTTGAAACAAGAAAGTGCCAGAAGAATTTATGGTACAGAGGCAGAAAACAACACATATTGTAAACAGAACTAAAACAAATTGGCCTTTGTGTGTGTCAGAAAACTTACAGAACTAGCAGAAGTTCTTAGTCCTTAAAGGAGCTACTTTTACTCTTCAGGCATTTTATAAAGGTTACCAGTCATTCTACAAAAACATGACCAATTAAGGATTTTTATGTCGCTTACAAATTTACCGTACGTTGTAAAATCTTAACTGTAAATTTAAAGGTCGATTTCAACTCCAAGACTTAACATACACACATGGTTTTGTAAATATGCAGTTCAAGTTTTGATATGAACATATAATGTTGAAAAACGTATTCCACTGCAAATCTTAATGTCGCTTCATTTATTTTTTCAAGATGACATTTTCAGCCGTAAAATCGTTCCGAATAGATTGCAATGAATGTTAAAAAATGTCTTTTATCCTATATAAAAAAAAATCAAACCACTTCTCGCAAAGGAATGCATGGATCTCCTTTCATGCGAATTCATAAGCATGTCGCTTAAAATCGAATAACTTCCGTAGCGATTTTGTTTTAAATTTGACGCATAGAATGCAGATTTCAAAATCTGAAAGTGACCATGGAACCTTATATCATCGATTCTAGTTGCGAGTCAGCTTTTTGAGACGATTACATTTTCGACATAACAAAATGAATTAGACAAAAACAGTTGTCTCTCTTAAAAATTTAACTTCCGTAACGGTAATTCAGGAAAGTTTTTACATTAAAGGTATAAAAAAAATTATTATTTTGGGAGCAATATGCTTCATACTTTTGTTTAATATCCTAAAACAAAGTTTGATTTTAACTATTGAAGAGAATTCTAACTTTTATTGCTGGGAATTAACTTCCGTAACGATTAACTTCCGTAAAGATATTTTTCCCGAAAATTTAATTTAAATTAGGATTCATGCGAGACTTCATGAATCATACTTTAGCGTTCTTTACTGCATACGGTGACGTCTCTATATGAGTGAAAATTATGGAATGAGACGTTAAATAATAACATACAATCAATCAATCAATCTAAATTCTAGAAATTGATATTTTTACCTGTAGGCTTACTGTTCTTACTGACTATTACGATACATAACTAACAACTAAAGGGTATGACAAATGAGATGACTTCAGCTTTCCCATCATCAGCTTTCCTTATTTGTGTTGTAGTAATCTGCTTTCACCTGCATATTGTGTTTATGTCCCAGACTTGTTTTGAACATATTTTATCGATGATTTGTCAAAGAAATTGGACTCAAGTTCCAAAAATTTAGGCAGTCCTTCCCCCATACATAAAATCTGAAAAGCCATAACATTTTATACTTAAGTAGAGTGCCATCAACTTTTAAGCCGAGGTAAACTACTGAGAAATAAGTTGATGTTATAGGGATTTCAACAACTTCGTTTTAAGTTAGCATTTCGTAAATTTTATGGTCGTGAAAATGACCTTGTTAGAAAAATTGGGTCGTATTTTGACTGACATATTTCATAGCAATCTTTAGGTCTGTCTTTTTATACTATATTTGGCTACACAGTATTCCGTCACCTTGTTCAATACATAGGACTCACGGCAGATGTGACCGGGGATGCTTATTCCTCCTAGGCAAATGATCTCACCTCTGGAATTTCAAGGGGTTCGTGTTCACAGATTTGTATTAGGCCAACTTCAAAAGTAATGTTTGTTTGCCCTCTCCCGACTCAGGATGAAAAAATTGGGTCAGTGATTAGGTGAAAAATTTTTCCTCTCAGAAAACTTCAATTTCAATGCTGAATTTTCATAATAATGTTTCGACGAAAGTGCTATGTATTTTCATGTCATCAATATCTGATATTTTATTAATATGATTTCTATCGGCACAGTACACATGACCCCTTCCTCGAAGAAAACAATTCTCAAGGCCACAATTTGATAAAAAGGGTTGTGAATCTATTACAGGCAAAAAGTATGGAATGGCAGTATGTTGAAGTAGATATGAACAATAAATGCTTTGAGAACGCTTGTGGGCAGATCACATTTCATTTTTTTTCCAAGGCAATTTGTAAATATAAGCATCTGTATTGTTTGTTTTAGGTTTCTACACAATGAAAGTGTGTTTTATTAATTTGAACATTTTTAGATTTTAAAATTTGCCATAAATATTATACATGTAATTACTATGCTGAAAAAAATTCGATTCCTATTGTGGCCTAAGTCAGGTTCTATATATGGTCTGAAAAAGAATGAAATTAGACTTGAGGGTGCCTGTATATTAATTTCACAATTTGTTATCACTAATTTCACAACCTGTAGCTTGTAGACCTTGAAAAGAGCTTTTAAATTACCTGTTTTCGTATAGATTTCAATACTCAACTTTGGAAACATTTTATTGATATATGTTTAATTCTGAGGCCATAATATGAATAAATTTGAATCTATACAGTCTTCAGAATGTTTGTGAGTTTATTTCACAAAATAAAGCCCAACAAGAACAGATTTATTGAGGTTTAAAGCTAATTATTATGTCATTTATTCATAAAAGAGGAGTCAACTGCTGAAACAAATTTGCATACACTTTTCTAATATGTTCTTATAATTCCTCCAACTTCAAATCATGAAATGGTACAACAAATTTTTATTTTGTATTTTTTTTGTCTCTGTATCCCTGTCTGTGCAGTACAAAAATACAAAAAAATACTAACAGATTTGATTAGCAAAGCGATAATGTTATCAATCTTATATTTTTTTTTATATATATATCGAGAAAATAAATGATGTACAGTTGTCAGTTGTTAAAGCTTTGAACTTTCAATATAAATGTCATAATCATCAGTTTCTGTTGACTCTTTATTATCATTGAGATCCGCATCTTCGTTAGTAGCCAACTCAGAAGACTGTCCGTCTGATGGACTGTTTCTTGTAAAATTATCATCAGTTGATTCCTCCTCTTTAATTCTATCTGCACTTTCTGTTGAATTATAGATTACTTCATCGTCTAAGTTGTTAACCATTATTTCACTATATATTGACACTTTAACACCTAGGTTTTTATTTCGGCGGGTCCGCTGACGTCGTAATTGGTCGTAAGTTATATCTGATTCCTTGTAGTATGTTTCCTCCTCAATTTGGGGAGCTGATGGGGATGTAGTAGCAATGGTATTGTCTACTGAATCTCTTGATTTGGAATTGTCCACTGAATCTGTTGATTTTTCAGACTTTACCCCAATTGATGCTCTTATTTTGTTAATATCTATTGGTTCTGGTAACTGAGGTCTTCGATTAATCATCGAGCTTTTCCTACGTTTGTCTACTGTTGCGTAAACTGGCACCTCTTCTGTTATTCTACTTTTTCTCACTTTGCCTTCGTCATTTTCTTGGCTTTCTTGAACAACGGAAGTGTCATCTTGTATTCTGCTGGACATTTCAGTATTGCCATAGATTGCCTGGCCTTCGTCGCTGACAGGGGTGTTGTCCAGAACTCTGCTGCTAGTCTTCATATGATCATATATTTCCTGACTCTCGCTTATTGCAGACACTTCACTATAGGTTCTGTACTCATTAGGGTCGACTTTTTTCATTCTTCTTTGCCCCAGCAAATCATATGTGTCATTGCTTTCGATATAAGGACTCTCGTCTTTCTTCGATCCCTTAGTCCTCTTTTTTCTATCAAGGGTACTAATTGTGATGTCTTCTGCAGAATAGTAAATAGATTCCATTTGTGATCTAGAATTTTTACGGGACATACGAAAAACAGACTCTCGCGCAGCAACAATGGATTGTCGCGATATGACGTCATTTTCATACGATCCCATATATCCATCTGTAACACTGTCCTTGGAAACATAATTTGGATTGACAATAGATCGTAACTGTGAAATGGGAAGGTTCATTTTTCTGAAATATATTACCATAAAGAATAAGAATTTTGCAATTCAATATGAACAAATATAAAATGAGTGATATATTTAAATTCTACTCACTTTTTCTTAACTATAAACCGGACAAGTGCAATAGCAATGCCAAATATTATTATCAATAGTAGGATAGGGACCACTGCAAAACAAACAAAGAATTGATTTATTACAAACACTTCAGAACTACACCTATATGGTTGTGTTATTTTTTTAAATAAATATCTTGATGTAAACTCACCTATGAATAGAATCAGTAAGTCTGTAGGCATGGTTGTTGAAGAGAGCGCAATAGGATCTGAAATTTCAAACAATATATAAGACTCATTAATTATGTATTAACATTTAAAATCTTTCTCCTCTTCTCTTTTAAATACACTAAATACACTGAAGCCAGAGCTTTCAAAGTGCCAGAAATATTACCGATAAGAAAAATATGCTTAATATGGATACCCATATCCTTCTCATATTCAAAAATTAGTTACTTGAAGTTTTGGTGGACTCCTCTATTGTTGTAGATGTTACAGATAGGGGTGATGAAGTCGATACTGTCATTGTTGTTGTATCTGAAAAACATGAATAGTTGTTGTTCATCACACGATTTGCTTATTAGGCTAGCACGTATAAAATATTAAAAAACATTATTTAACATTTTATATATATATATTATAATATATATATATATATATATATATATATATATATATATATATATATATATATATATATATATATATATATATATATATATATATATAAAATTGATTGATTGATTAATTGTATGTTGTTTTACGTCGCATTCGAGAATTTTTCACTCATTTAGAGACGTCACCATATACCGCTGAAGGGCTTCAAATTTTGACCTTTACTCGGCACTCAGGGCCATTGAGCAGTGAGGGATCTTTATCGTGCCAACGCCTGCCATGACACGGGGCCTCGGTTTTTAAGGTCTCGTCCGAAGGATCCGCAACTTTCACTTCAAAGTGCCGAGCGCATGGCGAAGGAACAGTTGCTACCTATTTTTTTATCGACTTAGGTCAGTCGCGGCCGAGATTCGAACTCACGACCTCCCGATCACGGAGCGAGCGTATAATAATCTTGTTACATTTTTCAACAAATCCTGAAAAATTCTGATCATCTTAAAGACGCGTTCAAACAAACCCATTGTTGCCTTTAGAAGAGACAAAATTTTAAAAGACATTTTAGTTCATAAAAAGCATAATAAATTTTTTTTCAAGAAAGTGAATTTGTGCGAGCCGTGCGGTGCAAAGAAATATATTCTTTGGAAAAATATTTTTAAAACAAGCCAGTCTGAGGACAATAAGGGAAACATTTATAACATCAAAAATTGTATTAATTGTAAATCTTGCAATGTTGTATATGGACTTTTTGTAAAAAATGGAACAAGATTGTGTATGTAGGAGAAACTGGTGGGACTTTATACCAAAGACATGTCTTAAATCTCTCACTCACTAGAAGAGAAACCAATGACTCTGTAGCTGCCCATTTTAACTCAAAATTTCACACATTAAAAGACACAGTATTATAGGTATTGAAAAACTGTACAACAATGACATTTATCAAAAATATAGAGATAATCTATGGAAGAAAAAGTTAAATACTTACATACCATTTGGTATAAACAAAAGGGAGCACTATTGTCCCTTAACAATGTTAAAGAGACAGTACGACGCATCTCATCAAAAAGCAGACTTAATAAAATTTTCCGATAGGATTTGGAATTTTTTTACTACTCATAAATGCATAAACTTTCAGAAAATTTCAAGTTTCATAACAATATAACTTTGATTCTTTCATTAAAACTAATAATTATTTACGGACCATAAATATATACATAGCAACGTGTTAGGGGTTCCACATTCCCTGCCATTCACTTACTTATCATAAGCAAAACAGCATGGTAAAAGAGTGTAGCCAGGTAGGCCTGCTACCTTGATAAAATCGACCAAGAAGAAAAAAACTGAAAATAGAGCTTGAAAAAGCGAATTTCCTAACCAAACTTTACTTGGGGGATTAATATAATCGTTAGTGGAGGAAGGAACGGGAGTTCGGCGAGACACACAGGGCTCGCGAAGGTTTGTTGATACATGTTATCATTTCTCGTATCTCCTTCGCTTTCAAAGAAAAAAGCAGTGTAAACTCAACATCTTTGATATATAAATATTATTGCCATTTAAAGTGCAAATTTTAATGTAACTGTCCTGAAAATATTGTTGACGTTTTGCCGCGATAATGCATGCTTTGGTGATTTTCCCTTCTCGGATTCCAATACACAAAACGTCAATATTTGTACTTTCAATTCTTTAAAATTCGTCTGAAAGCAAAAAAAGTTATAATAGTTTGCTTTTGATAATTGCAAATATTATATATATATATATATATATATATATATATATATATATATATATATATATATATATATATATATATATATATATATATATATATATATAAAGATTATCTGTAATTCTGACATGTACTCACATGGATTGGAAGTTGTCACTGTACTTTGAGTGGTAAATGTTGTCATAGAACTGCTAGTAGAAGTTGTTGGAAAAGTGGTTGTAGTTGTCCTTACTGTTGTTTTAGAGAGTGGTGTTGTCATTTCTGTTGTGAAATCGGGATCTAGATGGCATAAAATATCAGACAGCGTGCATAAACCATACTTTGTGAAAACGAAAAATGCATACATTGAAAGAGGGGAGCAAAGTAATTACGTTCAGTAATTTAAAACTTGTCCTGTTGCATTTATACAATCATGACCTGCACCAAAGGTTTAAGAAAAAAAAGAATATATGAATATATGGCTTATTTATTTAGATATTAGTTATCAAACCTAAGTAATGTCCATACCACAGACTGAGATATTACAATATTCCGGAGACAGCGTATCCGTACTGAAACACCAAGGCATCGCTCCATTATTGGGATTCCTACAATAGTTTTCCTGGTCTAAAAGAGAAATAAATCCATTCTTCATGGCTATTTCGCTGTCCCATCTAGCGCATGCGCTACCATTTGCAGTGACATTTGCCTGTCCAGTGTAGCTCAATCCCCGTGAATCCTCCAAACATTCAGTGACGTTATAGACTGTAAATATTTTTTCATTTTATTTTTTATACAAGAGTATTTGTTGAAAGAAGAGCACCTGAATATTATGAAAGGCCGTATTGCATTCTAAAATAATATTGTAAATCTCATGTTTCCAAAAAAAGACAAAATACTAACAGAATGCAGTATGCATAAGTAAACAGGTACGTGTGTGAAATATTTTATATCTTGTTACCTATTACAGAAATTAATTTTGTCAAAGTATTAAGTAAAAGTAAAAAAAAAATATTCATACATTTATTTATTCACAATGTTGTGAACGGCTTTTTTTTTTACCTCGATTCCATGATGTAAATATTCTTTGGTACTGCATTTTTTCTATTTAAAAGAATTAAGGAGCAACGAAAACTGACGAAATTATCAGTATCTGAAAGTAACCTTGATACGCCAATCTAAATCCGTCTCCATTTTTACTTCTGTCGGTGAAAAACAGCATTCTAGCATCTCCTCGGTAGAAAGAGTAACTTCGTGGCACTGTATCACCACAAAACTGCCCCAACATTCTGAAATCTGCATCCCTCAGCTTTGAAAGCATAATAAACGTATTTTTAATAACATAATCAGGATGGGTTTACAATATTCATTTATAAATACTCAACAGGGAAGAGTTCTATATAGCCATAGGTTACAATTTTAACTTACTCGTACAAAATCGGAGCACGATCCATCTTTGCCCTCTTTCTCAAGGTCAAATGATAGAAAACTCAATGTTAATCGCTGATCCGGTCGAAAAGTAAATTTGTACACACACTGTACATTTGCTGGGTATTTCCCGGGGTAGTTTGGGGATGTTATAATGCCTGATTCATCATCTACATCATACACACAATCTGCAAAGTCAAATCTTATTTATTGCAAATATTTCAATGCTTGTACGAATAATATAATCATTTGTAGATGATTTTAATTGATTTAAAAAAAAGATACCTCCAATTCGTGGCATTTTCCTAGGAAACGCTGAAAGGAAAACATGATGCCACGATATTTATATGCTACATTTACTATTCTAGTAATCAGCTTAATCTTAATTACCGAATCTTAATTTTAAAAAAAGTTGTTAGCACAGATTGATTTTGGGTATTTCTTTTTTCAAATTGTGACACACAGATTCGGCAGCATTATAAATAATAAGTTCAATGACTTGACATATCTCTTTGACCTGAATCAGCGAAATTTTACTCCTGCTTAAATAACATGCCACACGATATCCTGATAATATCCTTGTATGCCAGGTTAAAGAAGTGTTTGACCTTTCTCAGAGAATTACAATCAATAGTGACTTAAATGACAAGGAAATATGGTGGGTTTGACCGGTCGACAGGGGATGCATACTCCTCTATGACACCTGATCCCACCTTTGATGTTTTAAGAGGTCCGTGTTTTCTCTGCTCCCAATCTGCATTGTTTCAATGGACTCCTGAGCTTCATAACTGTTCGTTATCTTATTTTACCAAGATGATATCGTTTACTAGGTTATGATTTCCTACATCAGAATTCTTCTGAAAAACTATATTTTCAAAATGTAAGAACTCAGGTCAGGTTTGTTGTTTTATTTTATTCGTTCAAATAGAATATCTTCCCTTTTATTATTATGAACCATCTCTGAGATTTACATTTTTCCAATTTATCTATATGGTTTGCTTTTTCTGAGAATATTTTCTAGCTTCGTGATTCGAATATTTTTTTGATCACCTGAATCACTCAGGTGACCTATTGCTATCCGTTTTCGTCCGTCGGCGTGCGTCGTGCGTTAACATTTGAACATTTTTAGCTTCTTCTCTGAAACCGCCCAACCAATTTCAATCAAATTTGGCATATAGCATCTATAGGTGAAGGGGAACAAAAATTGTGAATTTCATGGTCCCTGCTCCCCTGGGACCTGAGGGGTGGGGCTAAATCCACCAAAATTAATGCAATCTTTAAAAATCTTCTTCTTTACTCCTTGACATCAAGCAGTCAAACTGTTGACATGATTGTAATAAGCATTGAGCCCTTTACCAAAATTGTGAAATTCATGGCCCCAGGGTCAGGGGTTCAGGTGTTAGGGCGGAGCTCTATTGATTATATAGTGAAAATACATTAATTCATTGAAAATCTTCTTCTCTGCTCCTGGGTATTAAGTAAAGTAACTAAGTACATAGTTATGATGAGCAAGAGTGCCTCTTCCAAAATTATGAATTTCATGGCCTCTGGGTAATGGGTTTTGGTGTTAGGGCGGAGCTCTATTGATTATATAGTGAAAATACATTAATTCATTGAAAATCTTCTTCTCTGTTCTTGGGTATTCAATAAACAAACTAAGAACATAGTTATGGTGAGCATGATTGCCTTTGCAGAAATTATGAATTTCATGGCCCCAGGGTCAAGGGTTCTGGTGTTAGGGCGGGGCTCTATTGATTATATAGTGAAAATGCATTAATTCTATGAAAATCTTCTTCTCTGCTCCTGGATATTATTCAAACAAAGGAAGTGCATGGTTATGATAAGGAAGAATGCCTCTTCCAAAGTTGTGAAATTCATGGCCCCTGGGTCAGAGGTTCTGGTGAAGGGGGGCTCTATTGATTATATAGTGAAAATACATAATTTCTTTCAGAATTTTTTTTTCTACTAATGGTTATAAAGCATAGAAACAAGTGTGTAGTTATGATGAACAAGGGTGCTTCTTCCAGAATTGTGAGTTCATGGCCCCAGGGTCAGATGTTCTGGTGTAAGGGTGGGGCTTTATTTATTTAATAATGTAGTGAAAATGCATTTCTTTGAAAATCTTCTATGCTTCTGGGCATATTCGATGCAAAAAGTTTTAAGATGCAAAGGTATTTTTACCAGAATTTTGAACACCTGGACCATTTAGTCAAGTGTTCTGGTCCTGGCCAGGGCTCTATTAACTTGTATTCTGCTGAGCAAAGTTATTCCCCTTTACCATTCACCTTTGATAATGAATCACTGTAAACAATGTATTTGAAAGGTTAATAGAATACAAGAATTATGCAAGAATATTTATTGTATAATACAAAAAGTAGTTTCATAGTTTTAATGATCAGGTAGACTTGGAAGTATAGATGAATAAAATTGAGACAAAAATAACTTATCTTTTTAAATGTTCTTCAAAGGCCAAGAGAGGCCAATGTGAGAAGTAATAATATGGGGTTAGAAAACAGACATTTTGTTAATAGTCTGCATGGTAATAGTGATAAATGGGGGACAGATAGATACTAGACCAATTATTTTGTTGATGCTAATCATACTATTTTTCTTGCTTTTGGGCAACAAAGCTCCATTTATCAGTACGGATCCTCTAAATTGTATTGTACTCAGGTGACCGTGAAGGCCCTTGGGCCTCTTGTTTATTATTGTCAACTAGAAATTAAGGGACCCGCATTTAATGAGTCCTATAATATTCTTTCGTTGCGAGCTAGGCTTTTGTAGTAAATAGTTTTTACTTTAACATAACTTGTGTGTAAACAATGAAAAAGAGTATGGAGTATCATATTTTAGGAGCTGGTTGACATACTTCAAATTTTTTAAAGATTAAATCTAGTTTTATTAGCATAGTAGATCTTGGTTTTTGCAAAAACAAAGTCTCAACTTATTGGTGTTAAAATTACGTACATTTCTATTTAATTGTTTGAAAAAGAATCTTAAAATACTTTGTGGATGCCTACATTAGTATTCAAAGAAATAGTGAAGTAGGTAATTTGACAATACCAATGCTTCAAAACTTATGCCTCATGAAAATAGCTGAATGGTTTTATTCTCGTGAATATGAAGATTGAAAATAAAACTTCCAATAAAAGACTTTTGAGTTTGGGGGATATTCGTGAATATTTCAGAAAGAGGTGGAAGTATTTCTTTAATTTATTTTTATTTTTTGAAAATAAAGGATTATACAGATAAAAGCATTGGCAAAATGTTACATGATATGATTTGCTACATGCATTTATTAAAATCGCTACATATTTACAGAATGTCTAAAATGCCATAAAATCTAATTGAGTGATGATTATTAATTAGTGTTGGAATTTTTTTTCATTTCTCACACTTACCTCTTTCAATGAATGAGTAATTGGCTTTAAATCCCCTTTTACTGACAGATTCGTCCGAAGTAAAACGAATCCTGACAAACTGAGAGGTTGACACAAAGGTAAAAACATCATCAGTGATGGCGTCGACTTCTTTGCACAACTCGTAAGTCTGTGAGACTGAAGATTGGGTTCCCTCAAATATCTATGAAATTAAAAAAAAGTTTACTAAATATAAATGAAGATGAATGACACATTGAGAGAAAATTAATATCTAAGTAACAGTGCCGTCATATTATAATTTACTAGTTTTTACTTTTGATTAAAAAAAAAAACTCTAGGAACTGAAGAAGAATTAGGCTATAATGACAACAAGCCAAAAGAAAGACTATGATACCCTCACTTTCCTCAAATTATTAAATAGCTTCATTTACGAGCTATTATGAGCATCTTTCATAAATGGGTACTTACCTCTTATTATTTTAAGAATCGGTAGGTAAGAAAGTAGTGCACTAAAACGAAATAGTTCCTGAACTTGAGGGGTATATAAATTAAGTAGATCACCTAAAGATGCTTGATTTATATGAAAGAAGAGAAAATTGCGTTGTGAAAACCAGTCTTGAAATATATTTGAAAGAAAAGGAATTGTTTTGTTTGATATGTGCGTACCCTGAAATTTGGCAAATTTCTCCTTTTGCTTTCAATATCAAAACATACAACTTTTCAACATTTATATACTGTAGATTCCTTTTTTGCGAGTACTTATCGCAATATGGCTCATTAACGTCAAATCGCGAGTACAATAATTCGCCAGTGGATGGTTAATCAAGGGATTTTGCATGGATTTTAACACCATAAAAATGAAAGCGAGTAATTTTATTTTTCGAGTGGTGTTTCTTGCGAAATTATGCAATAATTAATATCAATATTTAGGAATCTACAGTAACCTTTCCCAAAGCTTTTTGGCAGCATAGAAAGCTGCTTTTTCAATAAAAATGGAAATCGTAAATTTACTTACATTGTCATCGGTCATTTGCAAAATTATTTTGTTAAAAGCATTCTGATGTACACGCAAATACTCTTAAGTAGATATCAAAAAGATGATTGACATTATCTATGCAGGCATTCCAACAATCTCTCGGAATTCCCATGGGGGCAATTAATATTAGCAGTCCTATTTTTGTATTCATATGAAGCAGAATTTATTCAAAACTTATACATGAGAAGAAGAAAACACTTGCTGTGGCCTTCAACTCGACATTTAGATACTGGTATATCGATGACGCATTATCAATCAACAATAGTTACTTCCATCATATGCCGACTCGATATATCCCAGTGAACTTGCAATAAAAGATACCACATCTGTTTCATATTTATATATTTTACTAGAAAAAATACGTGAATGTTAACCTAACGAAAAAACTTTATGAGTAACGTGATGACTTCAACTTTTCAATCGTCACCTTCCCTTACTTATGTAGCAATATACCCTTATCACCTGCATATGGGGTTTATATCTCCCAGTTTATTCGATACGCAAGAGCATGCTCCACATACAAACAATTTCTAAACCGAGGCAAGCTATTGACAAACAAGATAATGAAACAAAGATATCAGCAGTCTCGTTTAAAGTCATCAGTTCGCAAGGTACAACGACCTTGTCAGCATGTATAATTTATCATTAAGTCGAATGCTGACTTACGTTTTTCACACTAATTGTTAGGCTATTAGTTAAACACTGAATTGTCTTCGGATTCTTTTCGTTTGCCCGATCATGACAATGAGCACACGGCGGGTGTGACCAGTCGACAGGGATGTTTGCTTCTCCACGGTACCTGATCCCACCTCTGATGTTTTTAAAAGTCTTGTTTGTTCTGCTTCCGATTTGTATTCTTTCAAAGGATTTTTGAGCTTGATTACTGTTCGTTAACTCCATATTTCTTTACAGATGTTTTGCGAACGTGTGCACTTTGCAGGAAAACGAATCTGACAAGCCACCTCGAGATTTTAACCAGTGAGAGGGGAAGATGACGAGCCTTCATCTGAGGGGTGCTTCATTGTTCAATGAAAAAATTAGGGACCAAGGAAAAGTTAACATTGTCGCTTATGGAAAATCATCAGCTGACTGTACCCACATACAGTGTAATGCGAGTCTCATTTTCTACTTACACCAAAGCTTTCCAACGAGGGATTTTTTTGCTGTACATAATTTTGTTTAATTTTTGTTGAGGTTCACCTAAACTCTTCCTTATAGACAAACTCCAACAGATTTGAGCTTTATGCGTTTTGTGATCAAATATCCAAGGTTTATTCGAATATTTCAACATATTGTTGTCGACATTCAAAGTAACATTGATTCTCTTCAATACTGCTATTTTTGGTATCAAAACAACAATAAGTAACTCTGTTAGCTTACCGTGTGGTGTATAAATTAAAAGTGATGAAGGTTATGATATACAAGACTTCTGAAACTTCACACACCTGAATGGTGTCGTAACAAGAAGAACCATAGTGTTCCACATCGATATCCGTAAATGTTACTAATATCTTTTTATCCACAGGGCAGCTAATATCCCAGTCACATGACAAGTTGTTCTCATAGTCCTCTGGATATCCAGGGGATGTAATATTGCCCGAGGAACTTGTTAAATTTCCACCACAAACAGCTTCAAGTAGAAAACGTTTTGATTTTTTTTTCAATTAATATTAAAAGATGAATTCCTACTGTACATTTCAATAGTTTACAAAAATTAATACAGTTATAATCGTAATTCAGGCATTGATATTTTTGAGGAAGCAAAACAATACGAAAATGCGCTCTGTGAACTTACCGGCAAAAGCAAAATCGTGATGTACACTCAAAATTGCAAAAAATATTAAGGCTTCTTGGAAAACTGATTTCATTTTTGGTCGTGACAATGCATCTGTACAACAATATACAAAAGCGAACGGATGTCCATTACTTGTTCAACGGACATTATGACTGCTGACCAGATGCCTGGTCTATCATGTCCGGCTTTTTCATCATCTCAGTATTCATGTAATGCATACGTACTATCACATCGTCATAATGAGACATTCTAAATCTACTTCCCGTAAGAGTGTGCACTTCTATACATTTTAATTAAGTAAGAAACAATGTACAGTAAAATGTATAGCTGCAGAACCTCTATCAACTACTCTTATAGTTGACACCTGCACGAAGCACGTTGGACCGAATTATCTTGCCACTAAAAATGGTAGTATTTCAATGGTTTCAATTTCAGGTCCAGGAGGGTCATAAACAACGGTTATAAGAAATGTTTTGTTGTGGAAATAGTTTAAAAATATATATATGTTAGGAACAATGGTTAGTAATACTTTGAAATGGCAGTTAGAAAAATATGGAGAAATAAATCGATAAAAAGCGCACTTTTTGTGCGCATTAAATATACACTTTTTTCAATGGGTGGCACTGTACATGTATCTCTCTGGTCGTTCCTCCCAATTTTTTTTTAGACCAGCGAGCTACAGATCTACAGCTATAAAACCTAATGCTTCGGTATGCAAAGGAGTGTTATTCAAGAAAAAAGTATATTCCTATAGAATACACAAACTTTATATTATTTTCTCTGATGAATGCTCCGAATCAATGGACATATGCAAGTTTTGAATTTTAACGGGATTTATCTTATGATGCTATCAGCAAGAGATTTTGCATATTTGTTAAATTATATTTTCTTGATATAATTTTGGTGAACTTTCATGAATTGATTTGTTTCTTCCCTGAAGTTCCATAATTTCCGAATAACCCTCGTATATGTACATGTATTTTTACAGTATAAAATAGTATGCTGCTATTATTAGTAGTATTTATTGACTATATATATATATATATATATATATATATATATATATATATATATATATATATATATATATATATATATATATATATATATATAATGTGTAAAGTATATAATTATTTGAAATGTACATTTTTTTACTTTCCCTATCACTTTTAAATGTTTTAAATGTATATTGAATGAGTGTCTTGAATACTTAGTGTACAAGTTTGACTGTCAGATTATGCACGGGCATCGTCCCTTGGTACACTCTGTATTAAGGTCATCTTTTTTACATTTATACAATAGTATGCTGCTGTTATTATTATCATTTCTATATCTTCATGTTGTTTTCTACCAATTAAGTTTCAGACAATTGTGGATATGTGACATATTTTACATTTTCACGAGTATCATAAATGTGGTATTGTACATCTTCCTTTGTACCTCCATTGAAGAAATGATTGATATTTTATGATATGATTGATATTTAAATGTGATCATACTTATATGATTGTAAGTGCCCCCTGAGGGCCCTTGATTGGAGATTAAACATATTTATTTATTGTATACGAGGGTTGTCCAAAAAATTCGTGGTCAATGACGTTTTGTCTATTTAAACTGAATGTTCCTAAATATAATTGTTGTATATCAGAATATTTTCAATGAAAATCCAAGTCAGAATAGTTTGGTTTTGGTTGTTTGAACTTAATAATTTAATAAAAATCGCCGTTTTGTAGTGCGCACGGTCCATGGTTATAAGGTCATACACTTTGAAATAAAGTTTTCAGATTAAATTAATTATTTTCTGCATAAAACAAGCCAAAACTTACTAAAAATTAAATTAAATAAAGCGGCTGTCGTCATTTTCTGATATCTTTAGTATCGCTTATTGGACATATAGTAAAAAAAATATTTTTTTTAAAAAAATGAGGAAAAAACTCGCAAGAATTGTTTCAAAAAGTGACATGATAAGCGACTTCGGCCATTCAAATGGAACAGCGTCCAATCATAAAATTACGTATCCGTATTTTTGACGTTATCATGAAACTAGCATAACGTCGGACTGAGCCGTGTGGCTTGTATATACAATCTACTTACACTTAAAACTTTTGTAAAATAGTGTGTATTGTGTTAATTCTTATTCATTTACTATAAATCATGGTCTATATCAAATTAATATCCTACATATTTGGCAGTGTAGTCATAATTAATAAAATTATAGCATTTGTCTACAAACACTCGTATTTCTTATAAATCATTGACTATCACTGGAATAAATATTTTAATGTTCATACGCAACACAATGACGATATCCCCAATCTCTAGTTCCTCTAGACAGAATACTAAAAAATGTATCTTCTTTGTCAAAAACGATTCAATATACGAAGAAAAACAACAAAAAATTAAGAAAACAAGATGTTTATTGATCAACAAAGAAACGATCACAGCAACCTCTTCGGATTTTTTCAAGTTCTTAATTTTCTAAAGTCACATAATAAGTTATTTTAAGTTTAATGAGACATAATCAAAAATACATAATAAGGAAGTTTGTATTTAGTGCAAGTGAAAAATATGGTTTTATTTACTCTCTCCTTTGCATCAAACTAAGCCAGACCTGGAAAGAAAAATACATTAATTACCAAAAGTAATTCAATGTTTAATTATAGAGTTCTTTGAGTAATGTATTTGTGAAATATTATTCTTTGAATAATGTTACAATATGTAAACTGTATTAAGTTAATATGTAATAAAAATTGTATGTGAAAGTGTTTTTAAAAATGTTTAAAATTATAAAAATTCTCCTAGTGACATACATTTAAATAAGTCCTTCTAAATGCAGATGATACAGCAAATTCTGGAAAGCTTTGAAAAATTGACCTTAGATGTGTTATATTTGGTATATACAAGGTTAATATCCTGTCAAAGTTTAATGTGACTCAATCAGTCTGAAATATTCATGTAACTCCGCCAATTAACATTTGTCTCATGGACATTAACTAAGATAAATGTATTAGATTTATAATCAAGTCAAACTCTGTCATAATTCTACAGTTATCTTTGTTTTAAAACTAGATTAGTTGAAGGATCTCTATTTGCGATAGGGTAAGCAATATGTTTTAATCCACTGTCTCCATTATTCTACATGCCGCATGTCATTTCGGATTGGGATGATATCTTTTAATAGTTTTACTTGATTAAAAGAAGACATTATGATTCGGTTCGTGTTGAATGCAATATTTACTCATTGTCTGCAGATTCAATCCGGAAAAATCTCATTTCCTTCGAGCTAAAGTGACAGTTTTAAACTTTGCAATTTACAGCTTCCGGCATATCATATTTATGACCAATCACGTCATAATATATTAGATTTTCTTAATGAAGACTCCAAAACCCTTATATCAGTCTTAATTTAGTGTCAAATTTTCATCTAAAAGACATAACCATAAAATACGAGCAGGACGTACGGATCAGCCCTGAATACCTTTGTCAAAGAAACAAAAAACCTGAAACGTTGTCATCTCGGATTCATGCTCTTTAATCGATGAGTTGTTTGATCCAACAATTAAGTCTTTGATTAAAATACATTTTTAGGATTTCTATGAAGTAATGATTTACTTTATTCTGATACTGCCAATCAAGTTTTGAGAATTGCAGACAAATTGTTCTAAACACGCGAAAACCTTATTAAACCATGGGAAAAAAAGTTTGTGAATTCTCCATTTAATATAATCTTTTATCTAAAAAGAGTGGTTGGAGGTTTTTTCGTGAAATCTAATCTCTCTCTCTCTCTCTCTCTCTCTCTCTCTCTCTCTCTCTCTCTGTGTGTGTGTGTGTGTGTGTGTGTGTGTGTGTGTGTTCAAATTCATTCCCTTTTTTTTTACATTTATCTAAAAAAGGAATGGGACTTTTTTTTTTAAAAAAAACTTCAAAATGTCTGTCTGTCTTTCACTCTTTATTATTATAACTCTGCTGATAATAGAAATTTGCAGCAGAGATTCCGAATAATGCACACAATATGCAAATTCTTTCAGTACCCCAAACAGTAAAGCTTTTGACTGAATACAGTGATGGATTGCCAGTACAACTATTCCGTTAGGCCCTAAAAATATTCGCAAAAATGCCAAATCATTATAATGCTTTAACTTGTATACCGACAGTTCATACACTCTGGAAAAATGGTCATTTAGCACGGAAAATAAGAGAAAATTAACCATGTTTTTTCTTCAATTAATAAATATCTATAGCAGTTTTTTGGTCATTATAAGAGTAGGAAGGCCATATTTGTAAAATAAATATAGACATTAAACGTATACATTAAAAAATGTCATACAATATTAATGCCATACAATGATAAATCCTAATGAGAAAATTGACTTACAAATACGAATTTGTTCTTGAACAAATTTTCATATATTCCAAAAACCGGATTTTAAATCTAAGTTAAGATCATTTTATTCGGATTTAGTTTGATGTTTTGAGAAACGTTAAAAAACTTTGATTTGAATTCTTTCAGTAATATTATTACTGTTATTATTAATAATATCATATAGGCATTAACATTATATATATATATATATATATGGACCTAAATATTACATCATCTCAGGAGATATAAAAAGTTGTACATATTGTGCAGTATTTGGGCATTTTTGCAATTTAAGCTATACCTTAATTCTCATTTACCATATTTTAATCACAAGGACCTTTGTAAACATGATTATAATGCTCAGTTATTGGCTAGAGTAAATCCATAGATACCTTTATCTAAATGTCATCTTCACCCATTCTTTCGTGTGCATATTCTTGGCATGCGGTCATTATGTGTGTGCATTTGTCAACAATTATATCGTCTAATGTCGCTCTATCCACCGCTCGTTTTCCGAAAAATAAACTGTTCATATTAGGATTCATTCCTCGCCTTCCAAAAAGTAAGGGCTGTTGTCCAACCAGCCTCGTGAGACCTCTGGAGTTTTCTTTGGATGCTGATGATTTCAGAATGGTGATTGCCCCCAGGGCGATGATAATTGAGATTATGGTATATGTCCTCATTTTCTTTAAAATACATAGAACATCATTAACAATTTCAAAATTTTTACATGATGATAATGGAAAATAAGGCATCATATATATTAAACGAAAAAGATAGAAAAAAGAAATAGTGAACAGTATTATGTGTTACATTGGAAATGATAGGCATTTTTTTTTTCTTCTTATAATAATTACATTTTATAGCTTTATTTTCTTTTATTTT